TGTTCCGTCATAGTAATATAGATATCGAAAAATGTCTAAGTAAAATATATTCGAGAAAAAAAAATTCGCGAAAAAAGTATATCACAATATATAAAATTCAAATAAAGAATAACAATGAATAATAATATTCCAAAATGGAACAGACTCACAGTATATTGACTTGGTGTACCAGATCACGTCGGGTTCACCAATGATGATGCAACGGATATTCTAGTTTTACAACTAGATACCAATAGCACCTTCTAAATTCGATTGTTCCCAGTCAGATAGAAATCAGAAGTCAGATGAGAAGAGGCAGGAAAGATATATTTGATTCGTTACCAATATATCGAGGACCTTTTCTATGAGCTGGCTAATGAAACGTAGGAGCTGTGTCCCACGCAGTATTGAAACGTGATCTGGTACGGATGCATGACCGAGAGCCTTCAGCTAAACAAGTCCACTTAAACACGTGGTCAGCATCCAATGTCGAACACTTAATGAACTATTGATTTTGGGGAATTATTTACAGCTACAGGACTATTATGTGACGTTTTACTACTTCTAGATAAAGATAACTGATTATTAGATACATCCATCTTAGCATTAGTTTCAGCGAAATGAACCATGGTATTACAAAGTGACTGAATATGTCCAGTTTTACCACATTTAAAGCATTTAGAATCACGAAATACACATGAATTACATGGGTAAAACTTGCCACAGAACAAGCATTTACTAAACTCGTGCTCATCTTCATGGACTGTTTCACAACTCAATGAAATGTTATCTGAATAACCTTCATTACGCATCGAACTGTGACGACGTAGTAAAGTAGTGGAATTCCTGATGTTCTGGCGAGTCATTTTATCGAATTTTTCTCTCTTACCGCACTCGGAATTTTTATACTTTACATGATCCAACAGTAGTTGCTTGAGAGTTTCATAGGGGAGTGAAATCGGTTTGTCTGGAAGTGCCAAAGTCTTTATAAGGCTGTATGTTTCTTTTCCGATGAATGTAAGGAAATGGGCCACAATATTAAAATCTTCATCATCTTCCTTGGTCATAGCCCAGATTTCGAACCTCTCTATGTACTCATCAAACCACTAAAATCTGAACGTATATCTAACCGTTCCATCACAGGCTGAATCGCGACGCCAATATGATAATCAGAAGTATTTGAATTGTAGTATAAACTAGTAATCCCAAGAATAACGCAATTTAATCAAGAAGTATTAGATGAGCACAAACGAATGTATTGTATTTGGAATTTAAAATCATAACAGTCATCAATACAAAGAAGTTATTGGTTCACTCAAACATCACAGTCTCCTTAGAGAGTGATGCAGACACTTTACATTTTACAGACGACCTATCGTACGAAATAGGATTATCAATGACATGACTGAACTCAATAGTTTGCAATTAACTGGACATTGGGTGCAAAGTTAATAATAAGTATATATTTGTGATATCGTAGTAAGAAATCTTATTTCTGACTTTGATATAAATTGATATTTGATTGTCCTTTGCAAATAATTATGACTTTCATGGCTTCGTCCTAAACTACTACTATATAGACTTTTATACTACTAATATACTTTACTTCAAATACTGTTGCATAGAATTACATATCTTCACTCGAGTGCACTAAAAATTGATGTTTCACTTAAGAGGCCGACATTCAATTTATTTATTTATTTATTTACTCAGGTTGATCCCCTGACACATTATTTTTTCCTTTCTTTTCTCTTTCTTTCCCATCTATGTATACGTTTTATTCCTAAGCATCCAATAATTATAATTAGGACATAATATCTTTTACTACACTGAAATAAATTAACTATCAGATTCATTTTATCTTCGGCACATATATATGACCCAAACAAACCGATATTTGACGATTATTCTCTGCACTAGCTTAAGTCTTCAATGCATAACTGTACAGAATCTTACTCTACCTCCAAATCCTACTGCACTAATGACTTATTTGTTATTTATTTGTTTATCCAGTGATTTGTTTTGTAACATATCTTACGGTTTACTACTATTCTGTTTTCACAAACACGCTTGAAGAGTTATTTATATATTACACATTTCCTGCCTTCCTTTTTACACTTTTTTCCTGAAAGCCAACTTGATGTCCTTCTAAATTTTACAGAACCTGTTTAAATTTGGTGAGTATTATGCATATGTTATCGAAATGTGTGTATAATTACGTTTCTGAATGGTTTCTTCACAACAATTATTTATCAATAAGCTGTTCGTTAGTAATAATAACGTTGATGATTCTGATCGTATTGTCTGTTTTTTACCATTCAAGCTTGCGTTAACTCTATAACTACGACGAAACGACTTGCATCAACTCACGAAAAGTCAGAAATAAAATTTCCTGCCCATCGTGATGTCACAAAATATGTTAATGGTGAACTAGGTTTATAGGAAAAATCTAAAACCACACAATAAGAGCGTTGGACAATTAGTAACTAACCACATGTGAAAAGATCAGAGAGCGAGTCCGTTCATCATACTACACATCCTCTACCCATGTTTCCAAGGTGTGGACAGTTGAAAGTTGTTCCAACTATGAAAGACAATGCCAACAGAACCTTCAATGAAGTCATGAGGTCATTTAAAGGATGTAAGCTTTCTGAAAGTTGAAAACAAGAGTACCAAGTAAGATAAAACATACCAGTTGCGCATGGTGCGGCGGAGAATAAAGAAGTAATGATCTACGTGTCATACGTGTTTTTATGCGAATATTTATGGGGCTCGTTGTACTCTAAAAATACGTACAGATAAATTAGCACCAGCTTTCTAAGACATAGAGATTTCCTGAAAATTTCAATGTAGATTAGTTATTTGAATTATTTACGATAGCCAACCCCGTTGTGTAAGTAAAACCTGACTGCTGAACAGGATATATACATACGGTAAAATGGTATTTTGCCGTTAACAGGAAGGAATTTATCAAGTGCTGTATTAGACGACAATATAAAGTCCGCGCTATTTACTTGTTTCTACAAGTAGTGACAAAAATACTTTAGTCTATCGGTATAAACTGATTATCTGATGAATCATAAGATCGACAACTTATAATACCCCTACGACTGCTGGACGATCGTACTAGGAGTCTGTAATGGAGTGCAGTGGTCAGTCGACCAAATCGTATTTTTGTTGGACACAAATGAATTGATTATCTGGACCATGCTCAAGTTATTTCTACTCGAGGAATTAGATGACTCAGTAGTGACGAATGCTGATGAGGGAGTGAATCAGTTATATCTGATGCATTTTTCCTGCCGATAAATTTGAATAGAGCAAGAACAACAAACGTAGCAGAATAACCTGAATTCATTTAATTTTGGTATTTCTCCACAGCCGCATACAACCCAAACAGAATAGTAATGATCATTAAAAACTCTTTTTATATACTTTATATAATGTCATATATGTTCAAATCAATGGTCATTGACAAAAGGATAATAAGTATGAAAGGATAGATAAAGGTGTTCAGGTGGCAGTTTATTCATATGGTACATAACATGAGAACTCTATTAGGATTGATATTAAAAGTTAGGAAACAATAACAACAAAAACGGATCAGTCACAAGACAAAAATGACTCAAGCTCAGACAAAACTCAAGAAGGCACTGAAAGGAAGAAAATACCTAACTTTTCAATATGTAAACAAAAATTGTCGCAAACAAAGGCTACCAAAGCAAAGCAAGTGTGACAGCCAGATACTTCACAACCTTTGACACCAAGTCGTATGATATTATGATGTAAAATAAGTTAAGTGATTTTTTCTGCGATTATTTATATTATTTCAGGCTCAAACATCCACCACTCAATACTCAATTGGCGATAATTAGTATTTTTTAGTTGACTGCCAGCCATAAAGCCGCCCTTTTTTCAGGAACACATGACCAATCCTCTTATTGCTTCAGTTTTGTAATGTTCTAGAATCTAGCATTCGTTGTTACCTACCTAACTGGGAGTGCTATTTTACGGTTTAGTACTAGTTGTATTGGTTCGTGCCTTAGAAATAGATTATGATTGTTATCTGCATGTACAACTCTCTGTTACGACTGCGGCTTTGATGAGGCGGTGTGTGTGGTTACTTCAGGACACATTCACTGAATTCTCCATTTGTACACTAAATCCTACAATGCCTTCTGAAAGATGTAAGTGTCATTTTCGAGCAAATTTCACTATACCAACGTTTCCACCGCAAACGAACATCCAGGCTTCTGGCAACTGTATTTGATAACTACGGGTTAAATTGTCCAAAGATTCTCGGATGGTAACATGAGAAGTAATTGCGACACGACACTGAGGTAACGTATTGGTTGGAAAAGTAGTATCAGTTTCAGTTTGGAAAGGACAGGAGACTTGATGGCCTGTGTTAGTCCTGGTTATGATGGTCTCTCAGCTGATTCAACTTTCTTTTGAAGGAGTCGACGGATGGAGCCTCAACCACGTGCTGAGGTAATGAGTTTCACTCGTCGATTATTCGATGGGAAAGTCGGTAGTCAGCTGACAAGTAATTCGTTCTGGGCTTGTGAACTTTTTTTGAGTGTCCTCGTAGATTTTCTATTTTGGAAGACAAGAAAAATGAGGGCATATCAAGTGCAAATTTGTTGAAAGTTGTAATCAAGTCGTCTCTGATTCTTCTACATGACAGTATGTATATATAAGAGGTGGAAAGTCTCACAAAGTGCAGATACGTACATAAGAAAAGTGTCACGAAAGCGAGATCTTTTTATATTTTAGATGAAATCTGTTTACCTGGAAGAAACACCAGTCATGACACATAAATAATGATTGAAGTCATTGCAGAAAAATAGCACCGTCATAATTTAGATAGTGCCCAAATCATTTGAGACTAAATTAAAATCATACAGAAGTATATGGAAAAAATAGAAACACAGAGATTAGGTCATCTGCTCTCGAAGCGTATTACAATGACCAATTTGCTGTCAAGGCCATTTGTCCATCAACGTCTTAAGGTCAGTTTGGAGAGCGGTTTTTGAAGTTCCGTAAATTACCTTCAAATGTATGGAGGTTGACAACCAAAAAATCGAGCAGGATAACGAGATTTCATCGGAACAATCTAATACTGGCGAAATTTTGTCACAACAAGACATTAGTGATAGAAAAGATGAGGACGAAGAAGAAGAGGAGGAGGAGGAAGAAGACAAAATTGTGGAGAAATCACACAACAGCCGTTTCCACAAAAGAAATAAACGATTCCCAAAACAAATTGAAGGGGTTGACAATGCGTTTGTTGCAATAGAACCGAAATCTGGCAAGGAGGTCATATGGAATGAATGTATTCTACCTGAGAAGAAAACTGATAAAGAAGTAGTTATCGTTAATCAGTATTAATCTTAGATACTAGAATAGATACCTTTCTTTGATCAAAAAGCTCAAGAAAAACTCCCATCCATTTCTTGTGCGTTTTCTGGACGCTTGGGTTTCCAAGACAGAGGAAGGACCGCGCAAGCTAGTCTTCATCACTGAGCGTCTCGATGAGTGTACGCTAAAACAATTTTTGTGCAATTCTGCGAAAAATAACCGCGTTAGTATAATAACCGCTTTTATGATCTTTGTAGCTATGGAACAGACATGTGGGTCAGCTCCTTTCTGTTCTGATGTTTCTCCATCGTCTTGGTGTTGCTCATGGTAATCTGACTAAAGAGTCAATATACTATCAAAACTCGGGAAACCTGAGAGTTGGATTGTGTAAGCCTTAATTACCCACTAATTATTTGTGTTTAGTCGCTCTTGGTAGATGTCTAGACCAAAAATCTGAGGCTTTCGATGTTTATTCTCTTGGTGTTGTCTCTTTGGAGGTAGACAAAATAAATCTAGGTCATGTTTCTTTAAATAACTTTAGATTGCTGTGTGGACACCCACTGAATTTCCATCGAATTCTGACTTAACTGAAAAGTGTCAACAAATGATCTCACGCTTGGACAACAATAATCAAAAAAGCTTCATTGAGGCGTGTTTTGATACTGGATCCACAACAAAATGTCTCATCAAGCGACTGCTTAATCATCCTGCTGTTACGGAAGTGCCAATCTTGAAGCTGTTATCGGCCAGAATGATTGTTAACTCAAGTGAGGTTTGGTCTTACTATGTTGATGTATTGTTTTATGCTTACATAGATTCTATATCTGTCAATTTGTGCTATCGAACCCTGATACATTCCCGATTGCTACACATCATAACATTGTTGTCTGTTAAGTATTTTGTTACCTGCTACAACTCATTAGCTTTAGTTACCTCTCCATCTGTATCATACATAGTTCAGCATAAGCCTGATTCCCGACCGTTGCTGCTACCTTGACGTGGTGGTCGGGCTTGCCTATCGTGATGATCCAATCGAGCTATGCTGGCTGGAACAATCGTTCCTCGAGGTCCTACCATGCCAGACAGGTCGATTGAAGAGCGGTGAGACTAAAAGCAGCAATCCAAAGGTCCGAAGGCGAAGTCGTACTGCTGACTGTACAGAGGTGTGATGGCAGTAAGGTGTTTCCTTCAGACAACCAGCATGACAGCGATGCTGCCTTCCCACAAGGAGGGGTGGGGTTAGAAAAGGTCGGCCCTAAAAATGCACACCTCGCCTTATCCCACGGATTTTCGTCTCCGACGGTAAGGTCCTTTGAAGAACGGAGCTAACACGTAAAAAAAACCCCACGAAAAGGCCGTGCGTGACCGGCCTCAAGCAGATGTCCCTTGGGCACTGCGGTCACGCTCTCAGGTCGTTAAGACCAACACTAATCCAACTACTTTTTCAGGTCCCTCAAGAAATACCCTTCCACGGTGTGGGCAGCCGGGAAGTGAAACTAGCCCTCATACCCTTAACTGCACACAAGACCAAGTTGGTCGCTTTCAAATCCTTCCTACTCCTAATAACTCTGTTATCTCCACGACTAACCCTTCCCACGTCCTTTTATCACCTCGCACCGCTAGGGCAAACGATCCGAGTACACAGAACGTTATTCCTACTCTCCCACTGACTGCAGCTCAGACGATATAAAAGATGAGTTCTACAGGAAACTTTCTGACCTTCTCCGAGAAGCTAGGCGTTCTGATGTAGTAATAGTGGCAGGTGACTTTAATGCTCAAGTAGGTAAACTAAGTGAAAGGGAAAGGCGCCTGGGTGGATCTTATGGTGTCATGGCGAAAAGAACAGATAATGGCGACCGTCTGTTGCAGCTATGCTCAGATAACCGCCTATTTCTTACAAATACTAACTTTAAGCATAAGGAAAAACATCTTTTGACATGGCGACCCCCGAATTTGTCCCAACGTTGGACCCAATTAGATCACATCGCTATCAGCCACCGATGGAGGGGCTCGATAGAAGACTGTCGCTCATTCTGGGGCACATGTTTAGATTCAGACCATGCTCTAGTGCGAGCACGTATCTGTCTGCGTCTTACTGGTCGTAGGAAAGACACTGCAGGGAAGCCTCTTAGGGTTCTACTTAATGATAGGCAAGCTAAGAATATATTTCAGGAACAACTAGAAAAACAGTTAGGCAGCCATGTAAGTTGTGTCCACCCCGAGGCAGCGTGGAATGACATCCGAAAAGCTGTGGAAACAGCAGTGATATCCGCTAGTAAGGTAAACCATAAGGTTAGGGAGAAACAATGGATCTCGGCAGCATCTACCGCACTGATAGATGCTCGTAAACTCATCCCACCTGGCTCCGAGCATAACGAAGATCGGAGTCAACTTAAGCGCAGGCTTATAAGAAGCCTACGTAATGATCGTGAACAGTGGTGGGTAGCGAAAGCAAGAGAGATGGAAAAGGCAGCGGCAATAGGTAACAGTAGGCAGCTATTCAGACTCGTTAAAGAAACCGGTATTAAGAACCCGAATATCAGTGAAACCATCTCAGATAAAGATGGGCATATTATTCATTCTCAATCCAGGAGATTGGATCGATGGGCAGAACACTTTAGGGATCAGTTCAACTGGCCTTCAGCCACACTTCAATTACCCACGATCCCCAGTCGTCCTGAATGGCAAATTGAGGTAAGTCCTCCAACCCTCTGTGAGGTTGAAAAAGCTATAGGAAATCTGAAGCGAGGGAGAGCCGCAGGCCCTGACAGGTTGACCCCTGAGATTTTTAAGGATGGTGGTCCAGTACTAGCAGTGAGATTGACTGAGGTCTTAGGTAGAATCTGGGAACTGGACGTAATTCCATCTGACTGGTCCCAATCACTGATTGTGCCAGTCTATAAGAAAGGACAAAAGTCCTCTTGTGACAATCACAGAGGAATCAGTTTGACTAATATAGTGTCTAAAATATTAGCTTCAATAATACTAGGTCGCCTAACCAAAGCTCGTGAAGAGCAGACTAGAGAAAACCAGGCTGGTTTCCGACCTGGACGTGGTTGCATAGAGCAGATATTCACCCTACGTCAGGTTCTAGAACATAGACACAAATTCAGACGTCCCACAATAGTAGTATTTCTTGACCTTAAGGCGGCATTTGACTCCGTTGATCGTGAGGTTCTATGGCAATGTTTGTCAGTGAAAGGAGTACCAAAGAAGTACATTAACCTCATAAAGGCTCTCTACTCGAACACAACTGGTCGAGTTAGAGCCTATGGCGAACTGTCATCAGAATTGGTTACCTCAAGTGGTGTTCGTCAGGGCTGTCCACTCTCCCCATTCTTGTTTAACTTTGTCATCGACATACTTTTAGAGATAGCACTTTCATCAGCTAAACCTCCAGGAGTTGAACTTTTACCAGGAGGCTCACTTGTTGACTTAGAATACGCCGACGACATAGTTTTACTCGGTGAAGATGCTGACAACATGCAGAGTCTTCTGACTACTATAAGCAACAATGCAGGCATGTTCGGAATGCGATTCTCTCCCTCGAAGTGCAAAATGTTACTTCAGGATTGGGTTGCAGCGACACCTGAACTAATGATAGGGAGTGAAGTAGTTGAGCGTGTAGACCACTTCACTTATCTTGGGAGTCTCATCAGCCCTTGTGGTCTGGTATGGGACGAAATCTCAGCACGGATACAGAAGGCTCGTCTAGCTTTCGCCAACTTGCGTCATTTATGGCGTAGGTGAGATATCCGTCTAGCAACCAAAGGACGGGTTTACTGTGCAGCAGTTCGCTCCGTCCTACTTTATGGCAGTGAAACATGGCCAATAAGAGTAGAGGATATTCGTAGGCTACTAGTGTTCGATCATAGGTGTCTTCGAAGCATTGCTCGTATATCCTGGGACCACCGGGTAAGTAATGCAGTTGTTAGGAAACGAGTACTAGGTAAGGATGGCAAATCGATTGATGAAGTAGTGAAACTTCATCAGTTGAGATGGCTGGGACATGTGTTACGTATGCCCAACCACCGACTGCCCCGACGTGCAATGTTTCATGGTGTAGGAGTAGGTTGGAAGAAAGCTAGGGGTGGCCAGACCAAAACGTGGCACAAATCAATGAAGTCACTGACAAGTGGACTGGGCCATGTTGGTAGGTGTAGACTACCTGGTTGGGATTCGCGAGATGATAGCAACCGATGGTTAGAGACCTTGAATGACATGGCTCAAAATCGTTTGCAATGGCGAAGATGCATCCACTCTTTGTGTTCTACCGAATTCTAATCTTCTGAATTCTTCATGTCCCTATCCCTTTTCTCTTTCCAAATTTATTTCACTGTACTATACTCCTTCAATAATTTCTTCAAACCCTAATCTTTTGGATTTCTGATTATACTCCTATTACTTCTACCACTATGGGAATTGAATCGACAACTGCATCTCTGTGCTAATGTGGTATGGCAACTCGAACTGATGTACCTACGTACGAAGTTCTACGTTGTGACTGACTGACTGACCAAATAGGACAACAGGCTTCCTTAGCTAGGACTCTAGAATCTTACACCATCGATGTGTGCTGCATCTCCGAAACGCGCATACAAGATCCGAGTAGTGTCATTCATTTGACCGCACCTAATCAAAATAAAGTTTCATCTCGATACACACTTCGTGTATCTGGAAGCCCTGACGCTGCTTCCCGTGGCCTCGTTGGAGTAGGTATAGCATTAAGTCGTAGGGCAGAACTAGCTCTTTTAGACTGGATCCCAGTAGACAGTCGTCTATGCGCTATCCGACTAAACGGATCAGTAAGGACCCGGAAAGATAGGGAAACTCGTTGTTGCCTCTTCGTCGTCTCTGCCTACTCTCCCACTGACTGCAGCTCAGACGATATAAAAGATGAGTTCTACAGGAAACTTTCTGACCTTCTCCGAGAAGCTAGGCGTTCTGATGTAGTAATAGTAGCAGGTCACTTTAATGCTCAAGTAGGTAAACTAAGTGAAAGGGAAAGGCACCTGGGTGGATCTTATGGTGTCATGGCGAAAAGAACAGATAATGGCGACCGTCTGTTGCAGCTATGCTCAGATAACCGCCTATTTCTTACAAATACTAACTTTAAGCATAAGGAAAAACATCTTTTGACATGGCGACCCCCGAATTTGTCCCAACGTTGGACCCAATTAGATCACATCGCTATCAGCCACCGATGGAGGGGCTCGATAGAAGACTGTCGCTCATTCTGGGGCACATGTTTAGATTCAGACCATGCTCTAGTGCGAGCACGTATCTGTCTGCGTCTTACTGGTCGTAGGAAAGACACTGCAGGGAAGCCTCTTAGGGTTCTACTTAATGATAGGCAAGCTAAGAATATATTTCAGGAACAACTAGAAAAACAGTTAGGCAGCCATGTAAGTTGTGTCCACCCCGAGGCAGCGTGGAATGACATCCGAAAAGCTGTGGAAACAGCAGTGATATCCGCTAGTAAGGTAAACCATAAGGTTAGGGAGAAACAATGGATCTCGGCAGCATCTACCGCACTGATAGATGCTCGTAAACTCATCCCACCTGGCTCCGAGCATAACGAAGATCGGAGTCAACTTAAGCGCAGGCTTATAAGAAGCCTACGTAATGATCGTGAACAGTGGTGGGTAGCGAAAGCAAGAGAGATGGAAAAGGCAGCGGCAATAGGTAACAGTAGGCAGCTATTCAGACTCGTTAAAGAAACCGGTATTAAGAACCCGAATATCAGTGAAACCATCTCAGATAAAGATGGGCATATTATTCATTCTCAATCCAGGAGATTGGATCGATGGGCAGAACACTTTAGGGATCAGTTCAACTGGCCTTCAGCCACACTTCAATTACCCACGATCCCCAGTCGTCCTGAATGGCAAATTGAGGTAAGTCCTCCAACCCTCTGTGAGGTTGAAAAAGCTATAGGAAATCTGAAGCGAGGGAGAGCCGCAGGCCCTGACAGGTTGACCCCTGAGATTTTTAAGGATGGTGGTCCAGTACTAGCAGTGAGATTGACTGAGGTCTTAGGTAGAATCTGGGAACTGGACGTAATTCCATCTGACTGGTCCCAATCACTGATTGTGCCAGTCTATAAGAAAGGACAAAAGTCCTCTTGTGACAATCACAGAGGAATCAGTTTGACTAATATAGTGTCTAAAATATTAGCTTCAATAATACTAGGTCGCCTAACCAAAGCTCGTGAAGAGCAGACTAGAGAAAACCAGGCTGGTTTCCGACCTGGACGTGGTTGCATAGAGCAGATATTCACCCTACGTCAGGTTCTAGAACATAGACACAAATTCAGACGTCCCACAATAGTAGTATTTCTTGACCTTAAGGCGGCATTTGACTCCGTTGATCGTGAGGTTCTATGGCAATGTTTGTCAGTGAAAGGAGTACCAAAGAAGTACATTAACCTCATAAAGGCTCTCTACTCGAACACAACTGGTCGAGTTAGAGCCTATGGCGAACTGTCATCAGAATTGGTTACCTCAAGTGGTGTTCGTCAGGGCTGTCCACTCTCCCCATTCTTGTTTAACTTTGTCATCGACATACTTTTAGAGATAGCACTTTCATCAGCTAAACCTCCAGGAGTTGAACTTTTACCAGGAGGCTCACTTGTTGACTTAGAATACGCCGACGACATAGTTTTACTCGGTGAAGATGCTGACAACATGCAGAGTCTTCTGACTACTATAAGCAACAATGCAGGCATGTTCGGAATGCGATTCTCTCCCTCGAAGTGCAAAATGTTACTTCAGGATTGGGTTGCAGCGACACCTGAACTAATGATAGGGAGTGAAGTAGTTGAGCGTGTAGACCACTTCACTTATCTTGGGAGTCTCATCAGCCCTTGTGGTCTGGTATGGGACGAAATCTCAGCACGGATACAGAAGGCTCGTCTAGCTTTCGCCAACTTGCGTCATTTATGGCGTAGGTGAGATATCCGTCTAGCAACCAAAGGACGGGTTTACTGTGCAGCAGTTCGCTCCGTCCTACTTTATGGCAGTGAAACATGGCCAATAAGAGTAGAGGATATTCGTAGGCTACTAGTGTTCGATCATAGGTGTCTTCGAAGCATTGCTCGTATATCCTGGGACCACCGGGTAAGTAATGCAGTTGTTAGGAAACGAGTACTAGGTAAGGATGGCAAATCGATTGATGAAGTAGTGAAACTTCATCAGTTGAGATGGCTGGGACATGTGTTACGTATGCCCAACCACCGACTGCCCCGACGTGCAATGTTTCATGGTGTAGGAGTAGGTTGGAAGAAAGCTAGGGGTGGCCAGACCAAAACGTGGCACAAATCAATGAAGTCACTGACAAGTGGACTGGGCCATGTTGGTAGGTGTAGACTACCTGGTTGGGATTCGCGAGATGATAGCAACCGATGGTTAGAGACCTTGAATGACATGGCTCAAAATCGTTTGCAATGGCGAAGATGCATCCACTCTTTGTGTTCTACCGAATTCTAATCTTCTGAATTCTTCATGTCCCTATCCCTTTTCTCTTTCCAAATTTATTTCACTGTACTATACTCCTTCAATAATTTCTTCAAACCCTAATCTTTTGGATTTCTGATTATACTCCTACTACTTCTACCACTATGGGATTTGAATCGACAACTGCATCTCTGTGCTAATGTGGTATGGCAACTCGAACTGATGTACCTACGTACGAAGTTTTACGTTGTGACTGACTGACTGACTGACTGATAAGCCTGATTCGGGAGTTTGTGAATAAACGCCAACCTAATATGTGTTGGTCAGACAATTTTGTATAGAGACCCCTGACTTGTCATTTTGAATTCTAATCCACTTCACTTATTTCTACACTAAATGTATGGCTTAGAAGGCTGTTCATATACAATTAAAGTATGGAAGAAAAGGCTTGCAGAATAGAAGGCATAAAATAAGTTTGAAACTCAGGATCCGGTTATAGACAAAGAGTGCGTATGTGCCATTGTGACCAGTTTCGAGTCATGCCACCCAAACGTCTTCAATCATTGTGTACTGAGTCAAATTTAAATCAAGTTTTTCAAGGGTATGGTGATTCAACAAAAAACTTGTCAAATGAAACTAGTTAGTAGTTTTCAGAATAAATAAAGGCGGCATAACCGTACAATACCACTAGCAATAATAATAATAAGAACATTCTAAAGCACTACTCGAATATCAATTTTTTTCTTATCAAAAATATACCTCATTGGTAATGCAGACCACGAAAAATCAGAATTGCTGCAAACTATGTAGAATGTCTCAAGTCAGTCATTTCTGTGGTTCTACACAGGGATTTGTGGCCCAATACAACTATTCTTTGCCTTGCAGTAGTATCATGAACGTATGGACTGTCCATTTCTTTAATTTTGTCAGCAAACATCACGCGGTGCAAAATTCAAGACATCATTTTTAAAATGTAGTCATACCACTGAAAACGGTGCTTAAAAATGTGGTTACCGACTGAGTGGCCTCTGTTTCCACCAAACACAAGAGCTATTCTAATATTCCCATTTCAGAAAGGAAAAGGTTCACGAGCTTAGAGGACTATATTTTACCTTGTTCTCATAGATTCTTCGTAAAATCAAGAGCATCCCTTACTATCAGTTCTCATTTCATTGTGTTCACAACTAAATTCGAACAACTCTAATTAGCTGATTATGTGCTTACAGAAGAATAGAGAAACAAGATATGTATCGTAATGAATGACGATAATGTATGATAGTCTAATTAACCATCTATCTACCGTTTGTATCATTTGGTTTTCATTGATTTTAACTAAAGTCGGAAAACCATTGAATGGTAAGCTTAATAAGAAAGTTTGTCATTAAACAAAAGGCCAACTGAAATTTAGTTAGCAACGAAATCTGGTTGGTAACATCATAGCTGCAACAGCTACCACAGTTTACGTACAATCTGTTACTGTCCCAGTGAAATCACAATATTACCAAAACTTTCATCTTCAGTTAAAATAAGATGACATCTCAGCATTTATGCTTCAGTTTTTAATTTTCAGGACATATACCATTGCGGAATTACCTCTGACTGATGTGTTACACATCGGTAGATAGTATCTCATAGTTGATTTGGGTGCTCGGTATATCCTTTTTTAGGAGGTTGTTTATGTAGAACTGTTTGTAATGAAATAGTGTGTTGTTGATCTATACAAATATTTCCATTTTCGCTTATAATTTTACAATACTAAAATTGTATAGCGTATAGTTCGTTTAGAAGCCACTTATCTCACAGAAGAAAAAGATAATACACGGATGTTCAGACCAACGCAAAAAGTTAGATATTAACAGTAAACTTCCTTAATTGTGTATAAACATTGAACCAGTCAGTAAATCACTGTGTATTTATCTGTGTATCCATTTGTTCAAAGTGATTTCTGTTTCTAATGAGGATGGCGGTACTAATGAACCGACAGGATTTGTCAGTCTATTAAAGGACTATCTCAATCGTTACGAGGACGAAACTGTTATTATGGAAGTTCATTTTCCACATGACGATGTGGTCAAGTCTAAATCATGGAAAGATTTCCGATCAAACTTTACTCTTACTTCGAAGTACCTTGAAGACGTTAAGTAAGTTCTCTGTATTCTTTTCACCGACAGTTTTCCTCACAGCTTGTTATAATTTCTCTTAATACAACCTAGTTATTCCTATTGCTTAGTATTCTTGGACACCAATCCACTCGACAGGTCCCCAAATTAGAACACGGTTGAATAGGAAAGAAATTACATTCCAAATAACAAGGGTAGATGGAAGTAAGAAGCAAAATAAGAGAAACGTTAGTATATTTATGGTTTTTACATGAGAAGATTCTAGAGTCTTCTCCAAGTGTCGACTAGTACTGATTAGATAAGAAATGGCCAATCAGCGTGCATCAACACAATCGTGTACGAAACGTGCTTTGATCCAATCTATGTCCCGCTAACACAGCCACTGCTTGTTTGTCCTTCTTTAGCTTTCAAACTCAAAATATGGTGGTATCTAGTTGATTGCTTATTTATCGTTGTTACTTCATTTTGAAAACTGTCAATCTCTACAGGTGTCTGTAGTTCAGGTCACACCTATCATGTTTGTTATAAGCGGAGACTATGAAGAGATCAAAGGACACTTACAAAAGTCAGTCAGTCAGTCACAACGTAAAACTTCGTACGTAGGTACATCAGTTCGAGTTGCCATACCACATTAGCACAGAGATGCAGTTGTCGATTCAAATCCCATAGTGGTAGAAGTAGTAGGAGTATAATCAGAAATCCAAAAGATTAGGGTTTGAAGAAATTATTGAAGGAGTATAGTACAGTGAAATGAATTCGGAAAGAGAAAAGGGATAGGGACATGAAGAATTCAGAAGATTAGAATTCGGTAGAACACAAAGAGTGGATGCATCTTCGCCATTGCAAACGATTTTGAGCCATGTCATTCAAGGTCTCTAACCATCGGTTGCTATCATCTCGCGAATCCCAACCAGGTAGTCTACACCTACCAACATGGCCCAGTCCACTTGTCAGTGACTTCATTGATTTGTGCCACGTTTTGGTCTGGCCACCCCTAGCTTTCTTCCAACCTACTCCTACACCATGAAACATTGCACGTCGGGGCAGTCGGTGGTTGGGCATACGTAACACATGTCCCAGCCATCTCAACTGATGAAGTTTCACTACTTCATCAATCGATTTGCCATCCTTACCTAGTACTCGTTTCCTAACAACTGCATTACTTACCCGGTGGTCCCAGGATATACGAGCAATGCTTCGAAGACACCTATGATCGAACACTAGTAGCCTACGAATATCCTCTATTCCTTATGCTTAAAGTTAGTATTTGCAAGAAATAGGCGGTTATCTGAGCATAGCTGCAACAGACGGTCGCCATTATCTGTTCTTTTCGCCATGACACCATAAGATCCACCCAGGTGCCTTTCCCTTTCACTTAGTTTACCTACTTGAGCATTGAAGTCACCTGCCACTATTACTACATCAGAACGCCTAGCTTCTCGGAGAAGGTCAGAAAGTTTCCTGTAGAACTCATCTTTTATATCGTCTGAGCTGCAGTCAGTGGGAGACCAGGAATAACGTTCTGTGTACTTGAATTGTTTGCCCTAGCCGTGCGAGGTGATAAAAGGACGTGGGAAGGGTTAGTCGTGGAGATAACAGAGTTATTAGGAGTAGGAAGGATTTGAAAGTGACCAACTTGGTCTTGTGTGCAGTTAAGGGTATGAGGGCTAGTATCACTTCCCGGCTGCCCACAACGTGGAAGGGTATTTCTTGAGGGACCTGAAAAAGAAGTTGGATTAGTGTTGGTCTTAACGACCTGGGAGCGTGACCGCAGTGCCCAAGGGACATCTGCTTGAGGCCGGTCACGCACGGCCTTTTCGTAGGTTTTTTTTACGTGTTAGCTCCGTTCTTCAAAGGACCTTACCGCCGGGGACGAAAATCCGTGGGATAAGGCGAGGTGTGCATTTTTAGGGTCGACCTTTTCTAACCCCACTCCTCCTTGTGGGAAGGCAGCATCGCTGTCATGCTGGTTGTCTGAAGGAAACACCTTACTGCCATCACACCTCTGTACAGTCAGCAGTACGACTTCGCCTTCGGACCTTTGGATTGCTGCTTTTAGTCTCACCGCTCTTCAATCGACCTGTCTGGCATGGTAGGACCTCGAGGAACGATTGTTCCAGCCAGCATAGCTCGATTGGATCATCACGATAGGCAAGCCCGACCACCACGTCAAGGTAGCAGCAACACTTACAAAAACTGCCTAGTTGTGAACATCTGAAACGTTCATTGCTAAGGACTTAAACTACTGAATACTGTCATAAAGTACTCGTTATTGCTAGATTACGTACTGAGTATGATACCAATTATTGATTTAATAGATATTTTTAATATCGTTCAAATAAGTTATGGATATAATGCTGTCCCACACTGATTTTAAGTTGCTCCATTTTTAAAAATGTGAGCCAAAATGATGAATTCACCAGCCTCATTTGAAGAATCTTTGCCAAAAAGAATTAATTTTCAGATTATACTTATTATATTCAAGTTTAATGAAATGGTGAATGTTTTTAATAAAAAAGTAGAGTAGAGTTTTGTTCAGCACATGTACTAAGTAGCAAAAGAATAGTAAGTGCTTCTCAGCTGAAGTAATTATTGATGATTCCTCAGTCAATAGTGAATGTATCCTATGATATTCAACACAAACGACATTGAAAGTATTTATCAAAACTGATGTTGATGTGTACTGCTAGAATTTAATAGAAAAGCAGTATGATAATCTGTTATTTATGACATGATAAAGTACCACTGGAAGCTCGAAAGAAGCGATCAGCTGTTTTGTCCTTAACAGTTTGTTTTTCGTTTCCCATAAGAAATTAGTCTCACCACTTCTTCAAAGCATAAACACTTATAACTCACTTTACTTTCCTCGAAACCTTTTGTCAACAAGTCTCCCTATGACTCATATTTTCATATTATATATTTTATTTTCTATTTTTGTACTAACACTGTTAGAAATGGATTCTATCCGTTATTTGGATGCCACTGGGATGCTTATCAAGGAGAAGAGGAAGATAGTACATTTCCTAATTATTCAGGAGTCTCAGGGTTCCCTCCTTGTAACGGTCTTACAAGTAATCTGTCAAGTGCAAGTGGTACCGTCAAGAACGATCCATCAGCTTCTGTCGGGAATTCTTCTTGCACATCAGCCACTCCAAGTGCATGTGCTTCGTGTAAAAACTCTACTGCATCAAAAATTACAGATTTAGCTATTGGCTCACAGTTGGCTCCAGAGGACCTGGTTGTTATACAATCTGATGATGCTGCAAAAGGTTTGATGGTTATTTTGTCTGCTTTGTTTGTTGAGTTGGTGACACTTATAGAGCTTTCTATATAAGTATTATCTTCATAAAATGCATGAGCTGTTTTTATTTGAAAATTTTTCTAATAACTTCTTTGTTATGTCGACTATATCAGTAATAATAATGCTTATGTTCCATCATGACGTGATATTTTATTTCACGTTTATCAATAGTGACTTATAATATATTTTTAATTCTATAAACCTTGTTTGCGGTTTCATTTTAGGTTGCTCTTCCTCCAGTGCATATGCATCCCAAATAAATCTAACCAACCATATGCCACAAATCGATCCTAGTTGTTCGTCTAAGGTGATTGATAATGACTTGAAAAAGAATGATTGTCCAACTTCATTTGGTGAGGTAGTTGGTGTAGCTTTTATTCCAAAGACTGATGAAGATATTCACCCCTTGTCTAAGGCAACGCCTTCAGTGAATGCACCCCGACCATTGGAATTGGGTTATACAGATCCGAAATTTCCAGACAAACCTTTTGGTAAGAATATTTTAGTTTCCTTATTTACACCCTGTTTGAATACTATGAATTGGTTTTAGGATTTTAATTGCAAATGGAAGAATTCTTTGTGGAACAGTCACTACTGTGTGGATGTTCTGATGTCTTGCGTCTACTGAGGATTATTCGTGTAAAAAAGTATTAGATTTAAAATAATAAACATATAAAAGCCTCCAGAGAGCAGTTCTGTCCAACGAATCGAAAGCAGCCCCGATATCAAGAAACACTACGATTGTTGGCCTGCGATAAGTATGACGGTGTTCTTACATTTGGCATAGGGCGAAGATATGATCAATACATCGTCGACCAGAACGAAATCCAGCATGCTCCTTGCGAGTCAATCTTTCTCGAGTTTTGAAAAACCTACGAAGTATGACAGAAGCCAATAGTTTGTACGCAATCGGAAGTAGAATTATCTCCCGATAGTTGTTACAGGAACAACGTGAAACCTTTTTAAAGATAGGGACAACTGTCGACTCATTCCATGACGCTGGAACACTCTCTATCTCCCAAACCTTTGTAAACAACGCAGTCAATTCCTCAGCCAGAAAGTCACCACCATCTTTAAAAAGAGCTGGAGGTAAGTCATCTGGGCCCTGTGATTTGTAGCGTTTCAAGAGTTGAAGTTCCTTGCGCACTTCTGCTTCATTTGGTGGATCAGTCGTCACCGGCCATGGAGGACAGGACAGTCTGATCGATGTTGCTGGGGCAGCAGGTCAGTTGAACTGCCCTTCGAAGAACTCTACCCGTCGCCCAAGACGTCGATGGATGTTAATAATTGGCATCCCGTCATCCTCATAGATTGTTTCACCCACACCAGACTTCTTTCTGCCAGTGGCTCGGATGAGTTGGAAGAGCTTCTGGCAGTTATCAGATGCAGCTGCTGCTTCCGTCTCATTATCACGCTCCGACCACCAGGCTTCTCGGTCCTTACGCAAGCTTTGCCCAATTTTATTACGTAAGAGCCGTTTGTGGTCAAACTCACAGTCACCTGGGGTAGACTGACGGGCTTCGATGAGTTGTACGGAGCCTGAAGAAACCGATTGCTTATAAGCTGGACGTTTCGGGAAGCCGCAAGCGACTTTACTCGCCATTTTCATGTCATCATGCAGTTGTAACCAATGCTCATCTATACTTTTCAGTGGGATGGAGGCTAGACTAGAAGCTAGCTCGGTCTGATACTTACTTGCAACATAAGTTGCAACCGATTTACTAACATCAATTCGTCAATTCTTCGGCCACTGAAAAGTAAGGTAAGATTGGCGCAGACCATGGCATGATCAGAGTCCAGATGGGTACTCCAAAAGGAGCGGCAGTCTTGTACACAACTGCTCCAGCGGTAGCTGATCGCAATGTGACCAATCTGAGTCCAGACTTGAGATGCAGAGGGACGACGCCAGGTGACACATCGGCGATGGCTGTGCTGGAAGCTAGTGCTATCCAGAAACAGGTTGTATTCTGTGCACAGTTGCAGTAGACGATCTCCGTTATCTGTCCTGCGACCAACAAGTCCCCATCGGCCGACTAAACGATTCTCTTCTGTGCCTAGACGCCCGACCTGTGGATTTAAGTTTCCGGCTAGTACTACAATATCTGTCGGATGCAATTTCTGGAGAAGAACAGTTAATTGGTGGTAGAATTCTTCCTTGATTGCATCCGGGCTGCAACCTGTCGGGGCATAGGCGGGTATGACAGAAAGACTTCGTTTCTGACGCCGATTTCTTCTCACTTTGATGGAGCTTTCTAATCTAACAGCATATAATCGACTGTTTATAGGGATCCAATCGATTAGTGTTGCCTCAGCCTCAGCGCTTAGTGCGACACCAACGCCATCAAGACCAGGAGAAGATTCAAGAGGGTCCCCGGGTAAAGGTACGTAAAACAAACTTTTTGAAGCAACAGATGGAGAGCGAATTTGCAGTGCTTCACTAGAGTCTTAAATACGGGTCTCGGATAGACAGCAGACGTCGATATTAAGACTTTCTAAAAACATATCCAGAACTATCTGTTGTCTGATCTGTATTAGTGTGCGAATGTTGAAGGAAGTTAGTTTGAATTGTGTACGTGTTTCCAGAATGATTGGTTCAGTATTCCTTATCAGTGGAAGCAGACAGTAACTGGAGATCGTTTAGATAGAACAAAGTCTCCACCATGGGCGAGCTGCTGTATAAGTTAAAAAATGGGATTACATGAAGTGGGAATAGAGGCAGATAAGTGACGTAGTATATAAAAAGAAATGACAATAATAGTAATAATAATAATAACGGGTGTTATCAAGTGAATGTGAATTGTCTGAATTCTAATTGAAGCGAGCATAGTATTTCATGAAGTAATTGTCATCTCATAAGATTTGTGTGAGGGCTGTGCTACTGCCCGGGTGCCCAAACCGAAGCAGGTGGTTTTCCTGGGGGACCACACCCTGAGCCTTTGACCCAAAGGTCCGGTCCACAAGGCAGTGGAGCAACGTAAGGAGATGCAGTCCTATGGTAGCTGGTGACTAACGATTGGTTCGTACTCCATTTGTTCCCTTAGGGTACTAAAGCCCATGTGCACCATTGGTTTGGAATCAGGGTTTCCCAACTCCCTTAGATGGACCCTCCGTCTCCACCAATCAGGTAAAAGCGCCGGAGTTCCTCTATTCGTCCCTTCACTTTCGTAAACAACAGTAATGCCACGAGAAGGCAGTGAGTAGGATTTCCCTGACAGAGGTTATATACGCGTGGCCATGTGAGAGCATTTCGAGTGGGAGAGCGGACTCTCCCCACTCTCGACCGTACCAGGGTGTTTGGAGGAAATGATATTTCATTTTTGTGGTGCATTCTGTTTTTGGTGCCCACTGTACTAAAATTTGTATGTTATAAATAAAATAAATATATTGTGTCAATTATACTACTTAGTAGAGTAACAAGTTTCCTAGTCATATTTTCACGTCTTGACGTCAAGTTATTACGCTGTTGTGTATTACTTGAAACATAAGGATTGTACATTATCAAATACTTCTTTGGTGTTTTTTTCCACGTATCGGGTGTAAAAGGTGGTTTGTTGTTCATTTAGTGAGAAAGGCTTTATTACTTTTCGGATCGATGGTAATGATCGCGTATGTTCACAATGATATCTGAGTGGCTACTAATAATTGTTTAATGTAGTACGACTTAACATTTCGTTATCCTTGTTTTGTTTTTAAAAACATATGGTTGCCTTATATCATGCACTTTAAACATTGAGAGCATACATCTGCACAAACCTATACTTGTTTGAATAGCTATAGAGCAGGACACTCGTGTGACAATTGAATGTGTCATTTTGGTCCTACTAGTTGTTTTATACCTATTTATAGGATTAATTATGAGCTTTTGTCCACGTACAATTTTCATATATGTGATTGTTTGTTTATTCTATCTATCAGCTATTTATTCTGTATAAGCTTAACAATTTACGCAGTGTTTTCCACATCAATCCACACATCACACAACGTAATCCATATACTACATAATTCACACTTGTGAACCCTATACATCATGCGTTTATCTTATTGAGTTTGAGTGTCTGAAATACCGCTATCCCAAGAATATTCTGTATCAAGCTTCTTGATATCAAATTATCAGGTTTAGGTGATTACACAATAGGATCGATCTAGGAAATATACGAAGTTAGTAGGGATCTAGAACAACTGAAGTCATATTTACTCACTGAAAACTGAAGCACCTGTTAAGTGGTAGAGAAGCTGAATGGTTGATTGTTACATTTTGAAAGGTTTGAACCATTCGCTTAATAAATACGAAAATGTTGGCTTGGTTAAGCCAGTTTCAGGGTGATATATTCCGACGAGAATAATGAATGGTAACTTTTGGGATTTGTTTATGAACTAATACTATACATATATTTTTATTGTATAATTGTGCTGAGAATTCTATATTGTACCAGATTATAATATTGTATAAAGCCATTAATAATAATAATGATAATAATAATAAATAACTAAACTGTGTATTTTCATACTCCTCTTATTATAAGCCTTATTTTGACCCATAGACTTATTATACGATTTGCCATTCTTGAGTTATGCCCAGCTTATTAACTACCGTCTCCCATAATCATGGCCTCTTTGGGCTAGATCTTGTACAAATGTTATTTTCTATTCTATAGTGTGATGTTGCCTGTTTGGCTTGTATATAATCCCAGTATGTTTGAAACATATTATTCATATTGCGGAGGCTGATATTGGTGTTCTGGACTCAACAGGCAGGGCTGGGCAGGAAGAAGGACCAATAAGAACTCTAGATTACTCGTATGTGTCTATGCGTCATTGGTCCGGTCGATACGTCACTGTTCTCTAATTGGCGGTATCATTATATATTAATAGGGCACAAGGCCACAAGTCATAACAAAGGAAACTTTGATACCTATCATTCCCAAACTTGCTAAAATAGTTAAAAATTTGATAGAGCGTAGGAAAAAATGCTGTATTTCTTATTATTTGTTACGTTACATAATAGTGTGAAATTATTATTGCTTCTTAAGTGTCCCAAGGTATACTACTTGCTTTTCTTTTTCTTTTTTTTATACCGGCTTCAACTTCAGACTACGTAGATGAAAGTGTAAGTTCCAAGTCGTATTTGCTAATTTTTTCCTCTTGATTTATTCTGAACTTCCATATATATACACCTATCTTTTTTGTTGGGTTTTGTCCATATCTATTTGAATGCAACTCATTTACTTAGTATATAGGTCTGTGAACTTTTCTTTAAGGGGCTTTTCAGTTGCTTGAGGAGCGGTAATGCTACCTGACTTCCCTAAGCCTAGGTAATTGAAATAGACTTTGAACTTGATATCTATTGATTAGAAGCCATGTCCTATAGCTCCGCTAATGTCTGTGTACGCTAAAAGTGTTTATTATGTAATCTCTTGCTTATAAAAAGACTGTTGCAAATAAATATAAAGACGCTATATTGTGTGACATTTCAATATTTTTTGCTTATAAAATTCATACTGTTCACCAAAGCATCTGTTTTTATATCATTCTTATCTTTTAATGTCGTGGTTTGGGACTTCAGCCTTATAAAATACTTGGATGGTAGGTGATTGTATTCGAAAGCCTGCTGTTACCCCATAAAATTCTGCAGTCCTTAAATAACAAAACGCGATTTCGTTTATTCAGTTGTATTGTATATAAGGCTAGATAAAGATATCAAATCAATTGATGAGTTCATTGGAACACGTATTGTGTGTGCCCAACCACCTACTTCGATGGCTGTGTTTGATGCTGTAGGAGTGGGTTAGAAGAAAGCTGGAGGCTGTCAAACCATTAGTTCATCAAGTTATTGACAATTGAATTGAACCTTATAGCTAGATGAAGAATACCTGGTTAGGGTCCTCTCGATTGTCGTAACCATTGGTTAGGGAAGTTGGGTGATATAGTTGAGAATCAGTCATAATGGCTCACATACATATTTTCTTTATTTTAAATTACTTGTACTTTTCATCTTACAAATGTATTCTTTCTTCGCTAAACATATTTTATATGTCTAATCTTTCACACTACCATTAATACCGTTACTACATATATAGCATTTTTCTTGATAATTTCATACTTCTGTCCTGATATAGTGTAGCTACCTGGATCAATACATTTGTGTCAGGTGATGCTTCGTTTATGACTTATATATCAGGTCGGATACACTATATACTCAACAGACAATTTATTGGTTACTCAATTGTGATTAACAAAATTTTACTATTATGATTTATTGGTGTACATTTAACCGGACTGAATTAAAAACTACATAATAAGTCACTTTTATATTCTGACCCATTTGGGTGGTAATATTCCACAATTTAGGAAAAAAAAACAGTAATTCACTTCATTAGCACTCAACCTTTAGCTATGCCGTAGGTGGTAAGGACTAGTGATACTATTCGGTTACTCAAACCGAAGTAGATAGTTTGGATTAATGAAGCAGATTTGGAAAATTTGATAAATAATACAAACACATAAATCCATGTACATGGCTATAAAATATCGGTATTTGTTTCTAGGTCATAACTGTTCATATATTATTCGGTAAGACAAACTTTGAAACCCCACCAATTCATTACCACTAACCTCCATGAATTGTACTTAATAACTCCACTTAATACAACTTTCAAGTGCATGAAATTATTGAATGTCATAAAACTCATGAAGTATGGATACATTTTGTTTGATAATTAATCTTTTTACAAACCTAAAATTTATGTCTTTTTTTATCAAATAAAACTATGATTAATTATTTGTATGCTAATCTTGACTCATTGGTAATAGGTAGTCAACTGAAGTAATGTGTATTATTCATGTTCACTGTTCTCTCGAAAACAATCAATGATTTTTAATACTGCACAAAATTGACTTCTCCATTATTTCCACTCATATTTTCATATTTATCATATGCTTAACAACCATTTTATTTCTTCATCAAGTTAACTATTCTAATGTGATTTATAACAGCCAAAGTCCGTATAGTTAATTTTCATTGTCTTTATATAACTATACACAAAATGGATTCAGAAAATTTGTATTTTAGAATAGAATGATTTAGAATTAATTTAAAACTTCATGTAAATTAATAAAACTTAAAACCTACTTTTAATGTTATTCACATTATGATTTGACTGTGCAACTCTTGATTTAATATATAATATATAAAGTAATATCTAAAGTGTGAAATGTAACGTAGTTTCGAAGTTAAAGCTTTTATTTTTATCTCTTTCAATGTCAGTTCATGATTAATGTCTTTAAGTTAACGTGATCTAGAAACTCACTCAACTGATTGACATAAATTTATTTCTACTCTGAGAATTATTAATTAGGCTCAGTCACCTTAATAAAAGTTAATTGTTCAAATTATTTCGATTGAATTCTTGTCAGGATCATGTTATACTCTATTGCGTAATCCTAAAATAAGACTATATAACCGTCCAATCCTTTCCAATTTCATATATTCCTTTTCAAAATCGATGTCAAATGTCAGTCTACTAAGTAAGAAGAAGTATGCTGTAGAATTATTCGTTTGAATTACATTCTCTATTCATCCAATCGGATTCAATCAATCTTTACGAAAGTACGAATTCATCTGAGAATTTAGTCAAATATATTTAATGACTTATATAGCTATATTCACAAAACATAGACGTTATTACATGACAAAATGAAGACTTTGTATACATGTAGTTGCGTGTTATTTGAAACAGTCTATTATAAGTACCAAAAGAACTATGTTTCATGAGTTGCATGTTTTACCTCAGGGTCAGTGGTAACATGATCAATATTTTCAACAATATTTTATATGTATGTTTATACACAAAAGGTATTATAACTATAATTTTATGTAATCTCATTGATTATTCACAGTTTATTATTTTTTTTACTTATCATGTTCATTTAATTTATATCTGTCCTGACTCTATCTCAATAGCATTATCTGTTTCACGTTTTTATTATTATTTTTTTTACGAATTTCAATATTTTGTTTTTTTGTTTAAAAGGTGAAATTAATTCACTATTTCGCCAATAAAAATAGATAACTAGTACTTCTATACTCTCTATGTCTCACCACCATAATTCTAGGACCCTTTGTCAATACGGAAAGTGTTTAAAATATGAAGTATTGACTTTTCATCATTGTATGCTCGTCTATATAGTTGCATAGTTTCCATACAGTAATGTATCCGAATAAGTTTGTTCTTCAAAATAATCTACTTCTTAAAGAAGTGAAGTATATGTTACAGTGTTATCATCCAATTACAAAGTCCCAAATGAAACTAAATGTGCGACTTGGGTTATACAGCTAGCAATATATATATATATATATATATATATATATATATATATATATCCCGACCGTTGCTGCTACCTTGACGTGGGAGTCGGGCTTGCCTATCGTGATGAACCAATCGAGCCATACTGGCTGGAACAATCGTTCCTCAAGGTCCTACCATGCCAGACAGGTCGGTTGAAGAGCGGTAAGACTAAAAGCAGCAAACCCAAGGTCCGAAGGCGAAGTCGTACTGCCGACTGTACAGAGGTGTGATGGCAGTAAGGTGTTTCCTTCAGACAACCAGCATGACAGCGATGCTGCCTTCCCACAAGGAGGGGTGGGGTTAGAAAAGGTCGACCCTAAAAATGCACACCTCGCCTTATCCCACGGATTTCCGTCTCCGGCGGTAAGGACTTTTGAAGAACGGAGCTAACACGTCAAAAACCCCCCACAAAAAGGCTGTGCGTGACCGGCCTCAAGCAGATGTCCCTTGGGCACTGCGGTCACGCTCCCAGGTCGTTAAGACCAACACTAATCCAACTTCTTTTTCAGGTCCCTCAAGAAATACTCTTCCACGTTGTAGGCAGCCGGGAAGTGATACTAGCCCTCATACCCTTAACTGCACACGAGACCAAGTTGGTCACTTTCAAATCCTTCCTACTCCTAATAACTCTGTTATCTCCACGACTAACCCTTCCCACGTCCTTTTATCATCTCGCACCGCTAGGGCAAACTATTCAAGTACACAGAACGTTATTCCTGGTCTCCTGAAACCACGCTCTAAACTACATATAGGAACTTTTAATGTCCGAACATTGTACCAAATAGGACAACAGGCTTCCTTAGCTAGGACTCTAGAATTTTACACCATCGATGTGTGCTGCATCTCCGAAACGCGCATACAAGATCCGAGTAGTGTCATTCATTTGACCGCACCTAGCCAAAATAAAGTTTCATCTCGATACACACTTCGTGTATCTGGAAGCCCTGACGCTGATTCCCGTGGCCTCGTTGGAGTAGGTATAGCATTAAGTCGTAGGGCAGAACTAGCTCTTTTAGACTGGATCCCAGTAGACAGTCGTCTATGCGCTATCCGACTAAACGGATCAGTAAGGACCCGGAAAGATAGGGAAACTCGTCGTTGCCTCTTCGTCGTCTCTGCCTACTCTCCCACTGACTGCAGCTCAGACGATATAAAAGATGAATTCTACAGGAAGCTTTCTGACCTTCTCCGAGAAGCTAGGCGTTCTGATGTAGTAATAGTGGCAGGTGACTTTAATGCTCAAGTAGGTAAACTAAGTGAAAGGGAAAGGCACCTGGGTGGATCTTTTGGTGTCATGGCGAAAAGAACAGATAATGGCGACCGTCTGTTGCAGCTATGCTCAGATAACCGCCTATTTCTTGCAAACAATAACTTTAAGCATAAGGAAAAACATCTTTTGACATGGCGACCCCCGAATTTGTCCCAACGTTGGACCCAATTAGATCACATCGCTAACAGCCACCGATGGAGGGGTCGATAGAAGACTGTCGCTCATTCTGGGGCACATGTTTAGACTCAGATCATGCTCTAGTGCGAACACGTACCTGTCTGCGTCTTACTGGTCGTAGGAAAGACACTGCAGGGAAGCCTCTTAGGGTTCTACTTAATGATAGGCAAGCTAAGAATATATTTCAAAAACAACTGAAAAAACAGTTAGGCAGCCATGTAAGTTGTGTCCACCCCGAGGCAGCGTGGAATGACATCCGAAAAGCTGTGGAAACAGCAGTGATATCCGCTAGTAAGGTAAACCATAAGGTTAGGGAGAAACAATGGATCTCGGCAGCATCTACCGCACTGATAGATGCTCGAAAACTCATCTCACCTGGCTCTGAACATAACGAAGAGCGGAGTCAGCTTAAGCGAAGGCTAATAAGAAGCCTACGTAATGATCGTGAACAGTGGTGGGTAGCGAAAGCAAGAGAGATGGAAAAGGCAGCGGCAATAGATAACAGCAGACAGCTATTCAGACTTATTAAAGAAACCGGTATTTGGAACCCAACTATTAGCGATACTATCTCAGATAATGATGGGCATATTATTCATTCTCAATCCAGGAGATTGGATCGATGGGCAGAACACTTTAGGGATCAGTTCAACTGGCCTTCAGCCACACTTCAGTTATCCACGATCCCCAGTCGTTCTGAATGGCAAATTGAGGTAAGTCCTCCAACTCTCTACGAGGTTGAAAAAGCTATAGGAAATCTAAAGCGAGGGAGAGCCGCAGGCCCTGACAGGTTGACCCCTGAGATTTTTAAGGATGGTGGTCCAGTACTAGCAGTGAGATTGACTGAGGTCTTAGGTAGAATCTGGGAACTGGACGTAATTCCATCTGACTGGTCCCAATCACTGATTGTGCCAGTCTATAAGAAAGGACAAAAGTCCTCCTGTAACAATCACAGAGGAATCAGTTTGACTAATATACTTACTTACTTACTTACTTACGCCTGTTACTCCCAATGGAGCATAGGCCGCCGACCAGCTTCCTCCAACCCACTCTGTCCTGGGCTTCCTTTTCTAGTTCTATCCAGTTCTTGTTCATTCTTCTCATGTCTGTCTCCATTTCTCGGCGTAATGTGTTCTTTGGTCTTTCTCTTCTCCCTTGACCTTCAGGATTACATGTGAGGGCTTGTCTTGTGAAGCAATTAGCTGATTTCCTCAAGGTGTGCCCAATCCACTTCCAGCGCTTCTTCCTGATTTCTTCCTCTGCTGGAATCTGGTTTTTTCTCTCCCACAGTAACTTATTGCTGATACTGTCTGGCCATCGGATCCGAAGTATTTTGCGTAGACAGCTGTTGATGAACACTTGTATCTTCTGGATAATGGCTTTCGTATTTCTCCACGTCTCCGCCCCATACAGTAGAACTGTCTTGACATTTGTATTGAAAATTCTAACCTTAGTGTTGGTTGACAATTGTTTTGAGCTCCAGATGCTTTTCAGTTGTAGGTATGCTGCTCTTGCTTTGCCGATCCGCGCCCTCACATCTGCATCTGATCCACCGTGTTCATCAATGATGCTGCCCAGATATGTAAAGGTTTCCACATCCTCCAAAGCTTCTCCGTCAAGTGTAATTTGATTGGTGCATATTGTATTGTATCGAAGAGTCTTGCTTTTCTCTTTGTTTATATTGAGACCTACTGCTGCTGAGGCTGCTGCTACACTGGTCGTTTTCTCCTGCATTTGTTGTTGCGTTTGTGATAGAAGAGCCAGATCATCCGCGAAGTCTAAATCGTCAAGTTGCATCCTGCCTGTCCACTGTATCCCGTGGTTTCCTTCAGATGTTGACGTCTTCATGATCCAGTCGATGACCAGGAGAAAGAGAAAGGGTGAGAGTAAGCAACCTTGCCTAACACCGGTCTTCACTTGAAACGAGTCGGTGAGTTGTCCTCCGTGGACGATTTGGCAGTTTAGTCCATCATAGGAGTTCCGTATGATGTTGACTATCTTCTCAGGCACGCCGTAGTGTCGAAGAAGCTTCCATAGTGTCGTCCTGTCCACGCTATCAAATGCCTTCTCGTAGTCGATGAAGTTGATGTAGAGTGATGAATTCCATTCGATTGATTGTCCCACAATGATCCGCAGAGTTGCGGTTTGATCTGTGCACGATCTATCCTTACGAAATCCAGCTTGTTGATCTCGAAGTTGGGCGTCCACGGAATCCTTCATCCTGTTTAACAATACTCGGTTGAAGACTTTTCCTGGTATTGAGAGAAGAGTGATGCCCCTGTAGTTGTCGCACTTGCTCAGATCGCCTTTCTTTGGTATCTTGATCAGAAGTCCTTTTTCCAGTCTGTTGGTACTTGTTCTTCGTCCCAAATCTTACTGAAGAGGATGTGGAGTATCTTGGCAGTTGCTGTTACATTTGCTTTCAGTGCCTCTGCCGGGATGTTGTCTGGTCCCGCTGCTTTGCCACTCTTGATTTGTCTAATGGCCATGCTGATCTCTTCAATTGTTGGTGGGCCAATATCGATTGGGAGGTCCATGGGTGCTGCTTCGACGTTGGGTGGGTTCAGTGGGGCTGGTCGATTCAAGAGTTCTTTGAAGTGTTCTACCCACCTGTTTCGTTGTTCTTCAATGTCGGTGATTACTTTGCCTTCCTTGCTTTTCACTGGTCTTTCTGGCTTACGGTAATTTCCAGCAAGTTTATTTGTTGTATCATACAATTGTCTCATGTTTCCCTCTCTTGCAGCCTTTTCCGCTGTCGTTGCTAAATCTTCAACATATTTACGTTTGTCGGTTCTGATGCTCCTCTTCACTTGCTTGTTTGCCTCTGTGTATTCGGCTTGTGCCTTGGCTTTTTTCGCTCTGGTTCGGCTGATATTGATTGCTGCCTTCTTGTTCCTCCTTGCTTCAATCTTATCCAGTGTACCAACAGTGATCCATTCCTTGTGATGGTGCTTCTTTTGGCCCAGAACCTCTTGACACGTTGAAACGATTGCCTCCTTGATACCCTTCCAGTTGCTCTCCATGGTAGTCCCCTCTCCATTGATTAGGTCATGAAAGGCCTTGAACCTGTTGCTGATGGCTATGTTGAATTTGTTGAGTTTGTCAGCATCTCGAAGAAAGGCCGTATTAAACTTTTGTGATGTTGTCCGCGCCGTTGTCCACTGCTTCTTGAGTTTTAGTTTCATCTTGGCGACCAGCAAATGATGATCGTATGCTATTTCAGCTCCTCTTCTGGTTCTCACATCCTCCATCGTCCTCCTGAACTTTTTGTTGATGCAGATATGGTCGATTTGACTCTGTGTAGTGTGATCCGGTGAAATCCAAGTGGCTTTGTGTATGTTTTTGTGTGAGAATATGGTGCCACCTATGACCAGTTTATTGAAGGCACATAGGTTTGCAAATCTCTCACCATTTTCGTTCCTTCCTCCCAGTCCATGTTGTCCCATGACGTCTTCGTATCCAGTGTTGTCCATTCCAACCTTAGCATTGAGATCTCCCATCAGAATTGTCAGGTCCTTGGTTGGGCACTTCTCGACGATCGACTGCAGCCTATCGTAGAATTTGTCTTTAGCGTCTTCATCGTAGTCGTTGGTAGGCGCATAGCATTGGATGACGTTCATTGTAATGCCCTCTCTCTTTGTTCTGAAGGAGACTTTGATGATCTTTGGTCCGTGAGATTCCCATCCAATAAGTGCATTTTGTGCTTGTCTGGACAGCATCAATGCAACTCCTTGTGTATGTGGGGCATTTTCTTCTTCATGACCGGAGTAAAACAGAAGTTCTCCTGAAGACAGTCGTTGTTGTCCAACCTGCGTCCAATGTGTTTCGCTGATTCCAAGAACCTCCAGGTTGTATTTTCTCATTTCTGCAGCAATTTGGAAAACTCTTCCGGTCTCCCACATTGTTCGGACATTCCATGTACTTATAAAAATTGTCGCTCTGGTTGTAAGAAGGTGCATCGGCCTCATGACTTCCGAAGGAACTCGGCTTTCATCATGAGACGTCATAATTATTCCTTCTACTCCCAGGGCAGAGTTTGAAAGGTTTGAATGATTTTTTCTGGTTAGCGTTTTTTAGCGAGTTGATTTTCTACGGGATGGGGTCGCTAACCCCATGCCCAATCCTCCTCCTTTACCCGGTCTTGGGACCGGCAGTAACCCCCAGAGGAGCTACAGGCGGAGTTTTGATTAATATAGTGTCTAAAATATTAGCTTCAATAATACTTTGATGCCTAACCAAAGCTCGTGAAGAGCAGACTAGAGAAAACCAGGCTGGTTTCCGACCTGGACGTGGTTGTATAGACCAGATATTCACTCTACGTCAGGTCCTAGAACATAGACATACATTCAGACGTCCCACAATAGTAGTATTTCTTGACCTTAAGGCGGCATTTGACTCCGTTGATCGTGAGGTTCTATGACAGCGTTTGTCAGTGAAAGGAGTACCAAAGAAGTACATTAACCTCATAAAGGCTCTCTACTCGAACACAACTGGTCGAGTTAAAGCCTATGGCGAACTGTCATCAGAATTGGTTACCTCAAGTGGTGTTCGTCAGGGCTGTCCACTCTCCCCATTCTTGTTTAACTTTGTCGTTGACATGCTTTTGGAGATAACACTTTCATCATCTCAATCTCCAGGAGTTAAACTTTTATCAGGAGGCTCACTTGTTGACTTAGAATACGCCGACGTGCAATGCTTTATGGTGTAGGAGTAGGTTGGAAGAAAGCTAGGGGTGGCCAGACCAAAACGTGGCACAAATCAATGAAGTCACTGACAAGTGGACTGGGCCATGTTGGTAGGTGTAGACTACCTGGTTGGGATTCGCGAGATGATAGCAACCGATGGTTAGAGACCTTGAATGACATGGCTCAAAATCGTTTGCAATGGCGAAGGTGCATCCACTCTTTGTGTTCTACCGAATTCTAATCTTCTGAATTCTTCATGTCCCTATCCCTTTTCTCTTTCCAAATTTATTTCACTGTACTATACTCCTTCAATAATTTCTTCAAACCCTAATCTCTTGGATTTCTGATTATACTCCTACTACTTCTACCACTATGGGATTTGAATCGACAACTGCATCTCTGTGCTAATGTGGTATGGCAACTCGAACTGATGTACGTACGTACGAAGATCTACGTTGTAACTGACTGACTAACACAAAAAGGTTGTGTGTGACCGACCTCAAGCAGTCGTCCCTTGGGCACTGCGGTCACGCTCTCAGATCATTAAGACCACTTCTAACCCAATTTCCTTTTCAGGTGCCTCTAGAAGAACCCATCCACGGTATATATATATATATATATATATATATATATATATATATATATATATATATATATATAAACTAGTAACTTATTTGTCAGTTTGAGTTTTTGAAATACTGTATTGATTAACCCTCCATTATTCAAAAAATGTTTTCCGTAACAGTATGACTGTTATATCCTTATACTTGATTAATTATACCATATGATATGATCGACAATTAGAGACACCGACTTATACCACCAGACCAATGACGCAGAAACCCATACGAGCAGCCTAGAGGTCCTTATTGTTCCACCGAGTTAATAGATTCTTTCCTAACCCAGCAGGTCCAGTCCAGAACGCCAATATCAGCGATACGAATCATATATTTCAGACATAATGAGTTTATATACAAACAAACTAGACCGCATCATACCATAATTAGAAAATAACAATTATACAGGATCCAACCGAAAAGTGGCCGTGGTTGTGAGAGACCGTTACTAATAAACTGTGAAAACACAAGGACGTTAAATCGTATGATAATAGTCAATAAATCAGATAAAAGCTTATGATAAAAGGAATATGAATATATACATATAATGTAGTTAATAGCCATACAATAAAAATATTCGTATAATATTAGTCCATAAGTAATTCCTAACGGTTATCATTCATCTAATGTCGTCCGGATATAACAGCAACTGTTATTCTGCTATCACGATTCTTTATTAATTAACCTTAAAATAGTGAAATTCTTCATGAGTTGTATGTTTAAAAAGTATTGCTTTTAGACTTATCGTGAAACTTCGACCAATCATTTTATTTTGTAGAAAAGTTCGTGTTTTCTTGGAATTCACCTTTGTATAATTCTTCACATAAAAAGCGGAAGTTTAAAACTCGACAGTGCATTGAATAAAACATATAATACTTACGTAGACATCTTTACCTAAATACTGATAATCTGTGTACTTTTCGTTTCCTCAATGAATTTATTATTCAAAAAACTTTCACTGACTGTGAATCGCATTTTGTGGTCCTTGAAGTGTAAAGACTGTTGTTGAACACCAGATTATCAAGTACCCGCCAAAAATTTCTTTTTGAATATGCAACGTTATGTGCTCAGTATTTTCTACAAAATCCGTAGTCATTGCATTCATGTACTGCCACTATGCTAAGACACTATTCACGACCTTGTTAATCGGCTATATAAGTGATGGGAAGGTGGGAACTTTCTGTTGGGAATCCGTGATAAGTATAACCAATGGTTCGAGATGTTGAGTACAAATAGCTTCAAACCAGCCACTGCGAAATAAATTCATTTATTCTTTGTCTTTAAATCTTGAGTCTTATGGTCATTTTATACTTTTATTGCGGTCATTCGTTCTTGCTTCTCTCGATTTAACCTCTTCCACAGTCATAGACATTACTATCACTTTTACTTCTGTACTATTCACCTTGTTAATTTCATATTACTGCGCTTATATAATGTAGTTATTCGAGCCATTAAACATTCTTGCCAAGTCTTACAATGTTTAAACCGAATAACATGCCATTTTATGACATATTTTATATGTAACCATAGGTCAACCAAACAAATGATAGAAAGTATAAGGAAGCGAAAAATCCAAAGTACTAACACCATTGGATTCGAAAATGGATAAGACAGATAATTTTTATGTATCATACACTCACCTAGAATTTTATACGTATTATTATTATTTTTTCCTCAGGAATCCCATGGTCATGGTCAAACAGTGTCTGTACTTGATGAACATGATGGTTGTTTATCATCGCCAAAACAACAAAATAAATCTCTACTTACATCTCCAAGTTGTGAACAACGATTTGATTTTGTCATTGACACTCAACAGAAAGAAGTAATAAATAATAGTGAAGCTGTTGTTGTAAATGAGAAAACATCTGACGGTCTCATATTATCCGATAAACAGGACAATCTTAGCCCGGAACCAGAAGATGATGACGGTGAGGTTGATGATGAAGATGATGATGACGATGATAAAGATGAAGACGATGATAACGAAGATGATGATGACGATGATGATGAAAAGCGCGTGGTAGAACCGGTTGAACGCTATGAACCGCAAACAGTTCATGTTAATCCACCAGAACGTGCACCAAGCCATCCAGCTTTATTTACACACTGTCAGTATTTGTATGTGGGAGCTGGCCGTTGGCAAGTTTATGTCCAAATGTGGTTTGTTGAAGATCGTTTAAAAAGGGAGGTAAGGTAACAACTGAACTATATATATATATATATATATATATATATATATATATATATATATATATGCACATTGGTCTCTTGCTTTACAGTTAATATTAATGGAGAATAGTAAAGGTAGTCTACTTCGTCCACCACGTATGTTCAGAAAACGCTCAATTTATACTATAAAACTAAATTGCTTTATACTGTAGTATGCATATAACTTGATAAATATTTTATCACAATAATCTTGGTGCTTCTTTTTGCCGTGTTAAGCGCATTTTAAATGGGATTTTCTTTCATACATCCTAATCCCTTGATAAATTTAAACAAAGCCAGAAGGAAAAGATTTGCAGAATAAAGTCAGTTTCGTGATTATATAGCAAGGTTTCTCACCAGTTACCAATGGTCTAAAGTTACACTTCTTATAAACAAAGTTATACATAATCTAATCTATATCGGTATACATAAAGGATCAATCTAGCTGTTATTTTACAATTTTACCGAATCTTTCTATCTTAAAGCTTCTTTTTTTTAAACACATTCATTCGTCAATTTCTACAAAAAGCAATCATTGTTGAATTTCATTGAAATCATAAACCGCCCTAAGTTAGGTCACAACTGAAAACCCTAAAGGCCGTTTCGTCCTGGTATGTGACTTTTCAGCAGTGCGCGTCCACGATCCTGCACACAGGAATCGAACCCAGGACCTTCGGTTTCATACGCGAACCCTTAATCTCTAGACCCCTGATCCGGCACCCAACGATGTTAGTGTCTGGCTTCAATTAATCCCGAGGTGGTCTAACTTAAATCGGGTCATGATTTCACGAAAATTCGACGTTCTCTACAATGCCATACTGAAAACAGTCATTGCATTTATCTGATTCTAAGTAATATTGATAGTATTTTTGCTTTTATTCTCTTTCTTTACAGACCTATGTACAAGTATTTGACAATGAATGGCATGATTATGAACGTGTTGCTGATCTGTTCGAAGCTTCACGGTGCCTGAATCCAGTCGATCGTTCTAATCTTGTAAGATTGCTTGCTTTAGCAAGACATAACTGTGCTCTTATTGATGGTGAACTTCAGTTTCCTGGGTAAATTATATAATTCGATCAATTAATATGTATTAAATTGTGTATGGTAGTATCATTGAAATCGTTTGACAGTTTTTATTTCAAAAGTTTTGTATTCACGTTGTATAACATTAAATCATATAATTAAAGAGTAGTCATATGAAAAAAATGTAAATAATATAATTTTGCAACAATCAGTCACGAGATAGAACCTATACTTATGCACATCGGTTCAAGTTGCCATACCTCATTAGCACAGAGGGATGAACTTGTTAGGTCAAGTTCCAGAATATTATAGGTAGTAATAGTGTCAGAGGCAACAGGAAAGATTAGGAATCGGAAATACAGCTCGAAAAGAAAGTATAAATTAGCGGAATAAAAACAAAAAAAGTTATGAGGAATTTATAATTTCAGGATTTGTGGGGAAGACAGAGAATGGGCGCGCCTGCATGATTGTAAACGATTTTGAGCCATATCATCCAAAGTTTCTAACCGGTGGTTAAGGTAATCACGTGAACCCCAACCAGGTAGTCTGTACCTATTAACATAGCTAGTCCAATTATCAGTGGCTTGATGGGATGATTTGGGATGCTTTGGCTTGACAGCCCATAGCTTTTTACTAGCCTGCTCCTGCATCAGAAAACATCGCCCGTCAAGGTAGGTGGTGATTGGGCATACGTAACACATGCCCCAACTTCCTCAGTTGATGAAGATTTACTACCTCATCAATCGATTTCCCATCTTCACCTAGCACTATATTCCCAATCTAGTGACTGCTTACTCCACCGTCCCGAAATACCTGAGCATTGTTTCATAGACACCTATGACCGAATACCAGTAAACTACGAATATCCTCTACTCTTCATGGCTTGTTTCACAACCATAAAGTAGAATGGATCAAACTGCTGCGCAGTAAACTCGCCTTTTGGTCGGAAGACAGGACAGAGTTGTGCCGTTTAGTTTTAATGGTTATTATGGGAAAAGGTGGCATGGGTTGTGGACATTTTTTAAAAAGGGTTCATATTCGTATATATTTTGACGAATTCACGAGTAGTATGACGTTTTATATCATTGATATAGGTTCACTATGGAGGTAAAAATCATTAGCTTTAGTTCTCATATACCCTATTCACCTTCTCTTCTCCCTACATTCACTGAGACATACCAGAATGGATTAAGCAGGCATCTATCGAATTTAAAAACGTATTTACATCTATGATAGTAAAATAAAAAGTCAGCATGTTAAAGCAGCAACGAACTAATAGGAGAAAAACGATAATAAAGTGAGAATGAAGACGAATACTGTTGACGATGAAAATTGGACTGAGCTCAATACAACCGTGGTATAGAACAATCCACCCAATGCTCAAGTTATTTGAAATTGTCAACTCAAACCTTGGTATTGACACCTACGTGGCATAGAATGTTACTTTTTAGGAATACAAGACAACTTGAATTCCGGCATTATGATTTTCATTCAAAATGTTCTTCAGGTAGTAGAATATTTCGAATTTCTTTTAGGATAAAATCACTGTAGTGTAGTTAACATAGAGCAAGACGATAATCTTAGTATATATACTAAGCTGATAGTTCTAAAAACGTAAAACACTTGTTCTGTGCAAGATTTCAGTTCGCAATCATGTGATAATGTAACGGATAATAGATGGAATACAATAATTGTTCTTCACAGATCTATGACAACACTTCTCAACCGATATTCAATATCCACTTTAATAAGAGAAGATTAATTCTTGTTCGAAAACTCTTCTTATCTCAAGTTAAAAACTGAGTTGTACAAAGCTCATAGTTTTCCAAAGAACAACATATAATAACGCAGATTATATATATAATCTTTATTTGTTCTACTATTCTAGTCCGATAGCATCTAGGCAGAGCAATTTCGACGCGCTTGAATTGCATGAGAAACTTGTTGCGCTTCACCTTCATCAACAAGCAAAAGAACGTTTAACTTCCAGAGATTCAGGATTAGCTAAAAGTTCTATACATTCATCTTCAGCTACACCAAATAATGAAAATGGACCTGTGGTCTCGAGTGATCATGACCAAGTATGTTTGTCATTTTTCAGTTAACCTGCTTACGAATCATGGCATTTCAATAAAAGTGAAAAATTAGGCAACTGAAACTTCTTACAGTGTCATTTCTTATTGATTATGACATGATTAACTACTCATATAAGTAATAAAAACTTTAAAAATACACTTTCATATTTTGGTTAATAGTCAGTAAATACAAATATATATGTGTTAGATAAATTATTTCATACAAATTACATTAATTAATTAAATTCTTTTGAATTTATGGTAAGCGTACATTTTTACTTCTTATCAAAATGATGCACACAATCATCTTGTCACTGTAATTATTAGGGAGGATCATTTCTCCTAAACACAACTGACAAAGTGTCCAGTTCAGTCACTAATGAACAACATAGAACTTGATACACTTATGTGTATTATTCATAAACAATATGATTCTAAAAAAAGAATGAATCTTCAAAATGAAAATTATAAGATAACTTTTAAACTCAAGATCTAAAGAAGGACAAAGAGTGCATGAATCTGTTCGATTGTAGCCGATTCTGAGCCATACCACTCAACGTCTCCAATCATTATTGGTTATGATAATCACGGTTGCTTGTATATAATCTTATGCATTCAATTCTTTAAAAGAAACGATATTCCACCAGGATAGCAAAATACTTAGTCTATAAACCGCCAGCGAATTAGATTTCAGGTAATTTTTAGACAATTATAATAAGTTTTTTGAAAGGTTAATTAAAAGTCACTTCACCCAAAACTATGCTATGACTACGTTAGATTCTTTCTTCAAAAATACATACAGTTTGGGTAATCCTCTGTCTCTAGCTTTGTGTATGATGTATACCTCTTCTTATTGTAAATCGAATTTCTCTTATCATTCTATCGTCTACATATTTTTTTGTCTCAATATTTTCTATCTGTATTTTATTTACATAGAATTTAGGTGATATTCGGTCGATGGATTACCAAAATCATGTACCAATTCCAAATGAAGTACAAGCCTGTGCTGAGCATATTACACAGGTTCAGTTGCATCAACGTGCAGATCAAACACAAGATCGTATGTTTAGTCCACATTTTTCTCTTATTTCACTAACTGATTTAATTAAACTTTAAGTAAATTTTTTAATTGTTTCAATCCATTATGGTAGATTGATTATAAATAAAATGTTCTGTTAATTATTAGTTATCAACTTCATTCATATTCGAGTATATTCCTACTGTATGCATTGATTACCAAAATATCAACGTTTGTGTACCGATTATTCAGTAATGTATGTAAACACTTTCGAACGTTGTAATCACTTACTCGATGATTAGCATAAGTCATATTCATTCACTAGTGTACACACTTGCCACTTAATCATTTGATAATGGATCTTAACAAATAAAATATATCAACTATCCGCTTATAATACGTGTAGGTCTTAGTTCAGTACATTTAAATTTGAGTAGTTTGTTGTTCTGTCTACTCTGTCTGTCATGTATTACACTACCGGTGCAAATATGATTCAATTACTTTCATTCGAAAGGTGATTACTGTATCTAGGCATTGTGTCTTACGAAATTTTAATGATGATGCTTACTCAATAATTCTTCAGCGACATTTATCCGTACACAGAAATATTATAATTCAATAAATTTCATTGATCATACGTGCTTGCTTACTAATAATGACTTTGTAAATAATAGTAGTCAAGAACGCACATAAAATATTTTTCAAGTGACCTACATAAAAATGTAGTCACAGATTTAAAATCACCGTTATCGTTGGTATTCACACATAAATCTTATAGCCTAGATCATAAAATTGAGTTAAATTAATGATACATATGTATTGATGGGTGATGTACTTTTCTAAAATTGTGGGCATATATTTCTCGTTAATAATATTAGTTATACTTGATGCAAATATCGCACATAAAAAATAGATAAATTGTTGTAAAACAGGTTATACTCAAATTATTTATTAATAACTAGAATACTTTCAGATGTGTTCAGGTGTTGCTGATTAGCACAAATCAGAAAGCTGATACTCTCCATGAAATGAATAAAAAATCAAACTATGGGGAATTTCATGTCTTGGTTTAGTCAACTAGTTATTTGAAATATCAATTCCTAGAAGTGTTGTAGCGTTGTTATATCCAAGGTGTATGATATGTAAATCACCTTATTTGCTGTAACATTGCAGCAACAATTGTTTTACACAAAACCCACCAGCTGACTGTTTTTAAACAATTACACGGGTTTTCATCAATTTTACTGAACTAAATTTATTTTAAATGGTATGTACTTTTTGTATACACCAGTAAAGTTATGACGCCTATTTCATTATAGCATTGTTACGGAATTGAAAAATGTAACAGTATATTTTTCATTAATTTCTGTACACAGCCCCAACTCCATGTCCTGTATCAGTTGGTTTATCTGATGTAGATGGGACAAAAGAGAATCAAGACCCAGGGAAGCAACAAAAAGTTAAAAATGATCCGAACAGTGCACTTTTTCTGGATGTCAGTTCACTTGCTCCTCGTAATTCATATTGTGCTTTATGTGATACACATGATTATCTACATCAAATTCATTTACCAGCTTATTTAATCTCTCCCTGTTATCATTGCCGTGAGTTTCTTGCAAATGAAGCTAAAATCACTCCTGAAATTCTCCTAGACTTACATTTACAAGTAAGTAATTTTAATTAATAAGAATTTATATTACTCATTCAATTTTTAGTAATATGCGATGATTAAATTCCATTATATTAGTTCATAACTAGTTGTTATATCTGTCATAATGCTATGGTAATCTATGTAGAATTCGTCCAACTCTTTGTACGAGCATCCAGGGGTGATCAAATTATCTTTTTAGAATAGACATTATTGGATTTTATTACTACTTTTTGCATAATGTTATGAATGTCCTCCGAATAACTCTTCTAGCCTTTTTGGGGAGTATCATTAGTCATTTAACTCTATGATTCGATATGATACACAGTAAAAAATGTTATGACAGCTTTGTTCAATAGTTTACACATTTTATATGCCTTTTTGCATACTAAAGTTTAGGAACGAATATTAAATTTTAAAATTCTCTTATACGACCCGTCCATAAAATTTCTTTTTTTATGTAGCATAACATCCCTTGGCCAGGATTCCTGCAAGCTAGATTTGGTATTCCTAATGATGGTCGGTCAACTGAAGAACTAATTGCTTATGACTGCCGCTGGCGGAGCAGACAACCTTGTCGATGTTTAACTTCGGTAGATGGTTCATTATTACCACCTTGTGTCGAATTTCCATGGTTAACTCCTACAGTTTCGACAGGTTCATTCGAAGTTACTGATGTATCAGCAAATCAAAGCAAACTCGACAAACAAGATTCATTAAATACGCAAACGATTGCAGAGGTTTCTTCACCCACCACTACAGATCCGCGCACTTCCGATTTTTCCACAACGACACGTAAGCTATTCGATTTTATCAATGGTAATGGATTCAACTTAATTTATGCTATGTGAAGCAATCTTAAATGTGTATTTTTCGTTACAGAAGCACAAACTAATGCAACAAATCAACCGTTCCCTACCCCCACTGCAACCTCGGTGAGCGCAAGTAGCACGTCAGCTGCGGGGAATACTAGTACATGTTTAAAGTCAATTTTGCCGTGTTCAAATAGGCATATTCGCGGTGCTCCCATTACCTGCTGTCATGGCATACATTTTCCTTTAGTTGGCATACCAACCGTCTCGAATTCATCTGCCAATCAAAATACAGATGCTGGCTGTATCCCCTCTATTGATTCTTCTAATCCACAATCAACGACCGATAAAGGATCAGTTGTCATGACTCAAGAAATGCAGCAAGCAGCACCATTGACAAACGATGTATCATCTTAATATTGTAATTTTTATTATCATCATTATCCACAATCATTTGGTAAATGTGATTAGAAAATTGTGCAATATACAATTGTGTGCATATATACCTATCTATCTTTTGAATAGTAACAATCTCAGAATCTCATTATAAAATAATGTTAAAATCTAGCACACATCTCTACTATAATTACAACACTAGTCTTTATAATACTGTCAAACATTATTTGCCTTTCGAAACAAGAAAAAAGATGGAAATAAATTGTTACCTATAGTTAACTGTAATTTTGTGGTTTATACTTTTTTAATTGATTTTTTCGGCGCTTTAGCTATACACTTATTTGTATTGTTAACATATATTACGCAACATAAGACGTATCAAAAGCTGTTTGCAGTATCTATTTTCTAAATAAAGAAAAACAATTTGATGATAAAGAAAAGTAAACAGATAAAAACTGTTTGTAAAAACAATGCAGAGTATACTGGATGCATAAAACTTCATACATGTTAATACTATTAATGAGATGATAGTCCTTTCGATGCAAAGTCGGGTCTATCCGCATATATAGGTTTAAGAAATTAGCGATTCCTATCGAAAAATTGTCTTGTTTTTCAATCGAGATATGGTAGAAGCTTTCAACTTCCGTACTTTTTTCAATGATTTATCCCGAATGGATGATAAATTTGTTTGTGACAGACTAGAATGTCGCAAACTGAGGCATATTTCTAGATTATAAATAGCAACAACAAATAAACATTTAAAAAACGTAGTAAAAGTTAATAATCAAATATATATAAACGAGATAGACAATTATGACTAATAAGTTAAGATTTCTATCCAATAGGTAATTTCTGTATGAAAGATGAATAACTTGTCAATTAACGTTTGTGATGTGTTTTTATCTTTCTAAATACAAAATGTTACTTCAAGACCGGTTTGCTTCAAAGCCTAAACTAGTGATAAGGTGTAGAGTAGTTGAACCCCTCGATCATGTCATTTGCCTTGAAAGTCTCATCAGTCCTGTTGTTTTATTGTCTGATAAGAGCTCTCTGTTAGTTTTTACCAACTTATGGTGTCAACGAGATATCTGTCTACTAACTTAAGGATAATCCTAATGCGCAGTAGTTCGCTGTATTTTACTATACGGCTGTGAAACAAACTTTAAAGATAGAGGATATTCGTAGGTTACTAGTATCTGATTATAGATCTCTTCGAATCCTTTCTGAGGCCATCGAGTAAGCAATTTTGAGGTTGGACACATGGTACTAAGAATGAAAAATCAGTTGATGAGATAGTGGATATTTATCGACTGAAGTAGTCGGGCTGTGCTTGATGTATACCCTACCACCGCATACCTTGCCCCCCCACCCGATGTTTGGTGGTGTAGGAGTAGGTTGAAAGAAAGCTAGAGTCAGTCGAACTAAGACGTAACATCAGTCCACAGTAAATTAACAATTGAGTTGAGTCTTATAAGCTAGTTACAAACTACTGGGTTGAGGACGTTAAGTGACATAACGCAGAATCGCTCACATGGCGCAAATGGGTTTTCTTCAAATACCTCTTATTTATTTAAAATTACTTGTACTTTTCATCCTACAAATTCATTATTTTTTAGTCATATTTTGAATACCTAATCTTTTACACTGCCACTACATATATAGTGTTCGTCTTAATAATTTCATATTGCTGAGCTAATATGGCGTGGTAACTTGAACTAGTGCACATATTTCAGGTTCTACGATGCAAGTGACTAGCTGACTTCTCCTTTCTGAACTTCTCAACCCTAACTACTTTAGAGAAACAGTAATCATTATCAGACGGATATGAGCTACATTGTTTTGTTGAAGTCCTATATTAGACAAGTTGAATGCAAATAGATGAAACCAGAAGCAATAAATTTAAGTTTGAGTACGAAGTATTATCGAACGTAATAGGGTATGAAGAAGTGAGGTATTACACTCGAATGGTCGGTCATAGTAACTCCCCCAACTACAAAAACAGATCGGTTACGAAAACAAGACTCCTACTGTTTCTTTTAATTTGATCTTAACCTTCTTACAATTGTAGATATGATCTTTTATCTATAAAAATCTGAGATGTTCTTAAAGCTAATAGTTAACTGTCATTTTTATCTGGTAAACTAGTTTTTTTTATACACCATTACATAAATAAAGAAACAACTAATCTTGTTAATGATGGCAGTTTGAAAGCATACAAAAGCTCAAATATCAAGCCCGTGTATAATATCTTTTTGTTTATGCAATCACAGTCCCAAATGTAGATTTCCCTTTTTCTTGATGGGTATATTCTACGTAACTTTTCTTCACAGGAGTTGTAGATTATAATCTTTTTCGATATTTGAAGATAATCGAATCTATGTCGTTGTAGCAACCGGCTAAAGGTATTTGTAACTATCAAAAATTGTTCTACATGAACTGTGACTGACACCATGAGTTTGAAAAATACTTTGATGAAGTGAATTTATTAATCACAGAGACTTACGTTTGAATTTACCTTCGATGGTTTTTCGACTAGATGATCTCGCTCGATGCCTACAAAAACAAAACTTATACACTAATAAATGTTACTGAAAGTACTAAGCACTAGATTGAAAATGTTAAACTACTTGATTTTTTATCGATCAATTAGTATTGGATCATAAGTAGGATATTTTTACCAGGTTAATGAAATAATAATTTGGCTTAGGTATTCTATTTGAAGACCACCAAACAAATCACGGTTTAAAATGAATACAGTTATATGAACGAAGAATATTTTTTCAATAATTTCTTACCAGGTTCTACAATTATATATTCAAATTACTAATCCATAAAATTGGCCAGGTTTAAAGCAGAGTACATCAAATAAAATGATCAATTTTATGGATTAGTAATTTGGGTATATAATTGTAGAACCTGGTGAGAAATTATTGAAAAAAAATATTCTTCGTTCATATAGTTGCGCTTTAATATAATGGGAATTTTCCAGCGATTAAAATGAATGGTTAGTTTACGATGGAAAACGTATTCAAATCGCCACCCCCAAAGTCGTGTACGAATGAATATGCTCGCAACATACAGAAACTATCTGTTAGGTAGTAGCTAAGAATTGTCTAACGCGAGTACATTATCTGCGAAGTTCTTAAATTCGGTTTTTAAAAGATATTTTAAGATTTCGGAATGAACATATGGTTGCAGATATACTTTCTGTTAGGTGTCAACAAGCATGAAAGAACTTAAAGAGTGTAAAATAAATATTTGGATGTGTTAAACACGAAACAGTTTACGGTAATCATTAGTTTCTGAGATGTCAGTAAAGTAAGTGTAGCAAAACTTGAAAGATTATTACCCCTATGGGATTAGAACCTGCAACACCAGGTTTTGCGGTCAGAAATGTTGCCACTGAAGTACTCAAATTATCGGTGGCTGTCTACTGCATGCTTATTTCTTAGTACTAATCATGTCGATCATATTAAAATATGGACGATAGACAGGTTGGGTAGACATTGCGAATAAAAATCAATACAGAACAATATGGAGTTTACATTCAGGATTTCCTAAGTATCTCCAACAGCCAGACACCACAATGTAGATTCACCAAGTCCATTGATCACATTGTGTTTTAATTTACTGAATTTAATCATTAAAGTTTAGACAAAATGATAGTTGATTACCACAATGAACCAATAATACTCATTTACAGCTTTCCTTATTATAATAAACAAACACATACTTCGGTTCGAAATCTCCAGTGGATTCTGAAAGTTCAGCTCTTTTGTCAACCACACACAACAAGTCAGAGATTAGCTCTTCTTCACGAGCTTTTTCTTCTTTAGTTTTTAGAATGTCTACACAAAAAGTATACAATAAAGATGCATTATGATGAAAAATAAAGTCACAGTTCATTTTCATTACCTTTTTAAGACTAATACCGAAATTCGTGTGTATCAGTTGCACACTCATGCGAATATAATGAGCCTATGATTATCATATCGCATGCAAATTTTATTTCTGAAAAAATTCTGAATAATTCTATACATACCTTTAAATTGTGTGTTTATGAACTTAGTGAGTTCTAACAATGAAATATATGATTTATTTGTGGTATCTCGGTGAGTAGATAATTAAATTTCTGACCTCTCGCAACCTAATGTGAGCCGCTTCTCCAGAGTAAACAAGTGTAATATGATATTAGTTAGCTCTAGTCATAAAATACTTTACTGATTATTCACTTCATTTTATGTATACAATCCATTACAAAGATATAACGTTAAATAAATGGTATTCAAACATTTTTAAACGCTAGATTTCAACTATGTACAAGTTTGTGGACAAGGTCTTGAAACTTGATAATTCTGTCAAGCTGTCAGGACTGTATATCAAGTGAATGAAAGCTTGACGAAACAGAAACATAATAGTTAAATACTTAGAAACTAGATCACTGAAACACAAGTAGTTATTTCTGGAAACCTTCAGATCACAATAGATATAATCATTAGTCTTGTTTATGGACCTCTGAAGATATGAACCTGAACTATAAGTGAGGAAAATTATATTTTTAATATTTCAGTAAAATGAATACTATGAGTTTTAGATACTACTGTATGAAATAATACACAACCAGTTTTACCTGACTGATTGAATTATTTGCTTTAATTTAGGATGTGAAAACCAGTACCCAATGATGCATCTTTAATTCATGAGAACACCTTCAGTTGTACTGTGTACATATTTTTGACTTCAATCTACTTATAACTTCTTTTATTATTTTAATGGGTTATTTATAGGTAGATTTGTAGCAGAAAGCTTCTAGTAGTTTGGTAGTGTTTACTAAGAATTGTTACTTTATTTTATTGTAATAACGATTTAATTAGTCTTTGTAAAATTTACTTCTAAAATAATGTACTTCACAAAAATTTTAGAATTAATACTGTAATTTTGTCTACAAATTTGTTAGTATTGTGCACAAGCAAATGGAGTAATGAAAATGGTTGATAAATGTAGGTTTGCTGTTTTAAGTAAAAGAATTTTCTATTCTGATCTTAAGACTGATTATTTATTCATTGTTTGATATATCTCCTACCTGGAAAGTTAATCGTCTATTATTTATAGTCAGAAGGGGGTTTTGTGGAGATTTTAGTAATTTTATGTAGTTCAGATCATGAGTCAATTGAAGTTAGACCACCATAGAAAAACTGGAAGCACTGGACAGCCGTTTCGTCCTGTCATGGGACTCCTCAGCAGTGCGCATCCACGATCCCGCCTCGCGGGATTCCAACCCAGGATCTATCAGTCCCATAATAGAACGAAACGGCCGTCCAGTGCTTCCAGGTTTTCTATGGTGGTCTAGCTTCAATTGACTCATGTTCTCAACTATATATTATTTATAGATTAAGTAGTAATCAATTATATCTTGATAAAATAGAACTTCATCTTACTTGGCTGAAGCGAAAATGTAAAAATGATGTAACACACGAAAGGATTTTAAATATAATGGTTCACTTCATATTACATAATAAAGGAATTCAACGAAACTAGAAAAGTACACTTGTTTATCACTTTCTAATATTCGATTGCTCTGTAGTTGAAATCAGTTTGTAATGAAAATTACCTCTTAAAAAAATGAGTCGTTCTAAAGCATCGTACTTCTAAATGATGCAAGAGAAAAAATTGAAAGTAGGATAGAACTATAAAAAGTATGGATTTCAATACTCAAAAATAAATGCACAAAAGAGTTTGACGCTTAACAAATACCAAACTGTTAGTTTTGCGATTCTAAAGAAATTCAACCACTCTGTTACAACTTTATCTCATATTTATGATTAGCACAACTATGCTGTGCTTTTCATCTTATTATTGGATATTGTAGGGAACTGTGACTAAACATTCACAACATATCTTAATTATCTGTTCAAATGAAGATTTACAAACTTAACAGATAGTCACAGTTGTTTATTCAATTGTTAAGTATAGGTTTATGTACTCGGATCTGAGGAATATTATTTATGTATGCGATAGTGATACAGGTCAGCCAAACTAAATTATATGGAGGTGGATTTAAATTTCTAATCACCTGGTAGTTGAAAGTCTAGTTACCCAACAACCAAGTCATAGGTTCTTTACTAGACTCTCCTTTGACTATAAAATATATAATCACTACACGTATAACAATGAAATCGATACATGTTATAATAACTCCGATAATATTATGTTATCTTGGAAGCTAATAGGTATTAATTAAAATTTCAAGAAACCATATGATTAATTCAACACATACTATCCTGCTTCAATTATCACAAGTGATATAATACTAAAACTCCAGATTTCTGAAAATTGAAGATTAGACATAAAATTAGCTATCATAACTGAAGACTGAAAAATGACAATGACCCTACGTAAGTTAAAATATATTGTTGATATCAAAATAAATGGTTAGTAAGAGTTCAATCAATAGTTTAGTAGTGAATGGAATAAACGATTGTTTTAAGAAAAGAAATGGTAACAAATGTAGATGGCTTCGACTTTACACTATACGTTTCTATATAATTGCAAACTACTGTATTGACGAGGGTTCTACTTTTTAATTCAGGCAGTAGTTAAAAGATCCTATAGTTAAGACTCACGTTATGAACAAGAAAGCTGAAAACCATGTTAAATAATGAGGCGGGAGGTTTTAACCAAACACTAGAATATCTAAAATGAAGCAAAATGAGACACATGTAAAATCTGGGAAACTATAAATACAAATACCAATTTACGTACACTTATCTTTCCAAAAATGAAGCTAAAATTGTTACAAGATCTCTATCACCGAAATGTGATAACAGTAAAAGAGATTTGATTAGGCATGCAGTACGGGATACTTTTCTAATATAAAGATTCCCACCTTGTTTGGCCATTAGAGTTCGTAGTTCATATTCTAAATCAGCATGACGGTCCTCTAGCTCTTGACAACGAAGCCTGTCGAAATAAATTAAATTTAGTGATACATTGAGCTTTATACATAAATGTTAAACGAAAAAATTGACGATCACTGACGGAAGTAGAACTGAATGAGAAAAAGGCAGATAAATTACTGGAAATATATATGTACGTTTCTCTTTTGCTAAACAATCTTTAAATTCAAAATCAAATAGACAGCAATCGTATATCAAAATAGTAGGTTTGTTGTTTAAAATCAAAAGAATAAAGGCTGTTTCATGTGCATTCAGTTATTATTCCTTTGATCAAACAGAATATGTTGGAAAAAGTATAAATGCATGTTACGCAAACTTGGGTAGAAAAAGCAAGTTTCGAACCGACGGATGTGGAGCGACCACTTAATGGCTAAAGAACGCAGTTTTCAACAACTGAGTTGCAAGGTAAAAGCGTGTTCTATCTATTTCCGTTTCAGGGTTATATCACTCTGCTGCCGTGCAAAATGTATTGCTGGCAGTGGAGTGAATAAACTTGCACTTTGTTATAGATTTACGATAAAACAGATGGATAAAACGACACTTTAAAATGGCACTTAAGTAATCGATAATAAAATATAACTTTCAAAATATTTTGTAAATAGCTTCAATTCCTCTTCACCAGACACTTTTGTATACAATATCACTGATCAGATGAAATATTCATACAATACTTAACATTATAACACAAACAGTCACAAAAATGAAACATATCTGAATGACACCTCCCCAACTCAAATATCAGTTACTACAAGTTATGTTCTTTGACTTCATGTTGTAAAAGTTACAATAAGACGAAATTCAGGGGAAATACACTATCGAAGGCATATATAAAGAATTTACAGATCGACATTTGCTACAGAGCCGGACAACGTTTAGCATAATTACTGTCTTTTAAAATGAAAACCCTGTAAATTCGACAGAAATGTACCATACTAAATATGTTCATTTCTCAATTCCTTAAAAAACTCGTACAAAACACTATCCTTATGATACATGTTGTATGTAGCGTGAGAATTTAGTTTATGCATCATAACTAAGGTCCATTGTTACTTTTTGTACATACTACATAAAACACGAAATATACAGTATTTCCAAAAAACTTATATTACCTTCTTTTGAATTTACCGATAGCAGTGAAGTTTTAGAACTAATCGAGAAATTTAAGTGTTTGTGTTATTGTACAAGTACAAGAACTGGTAGAGCAGAGGAGAGTAATCTAAACAGAGAGAAACAGTATAGTGTATGCCATAGTGGATCACTTTAGATGTCATTAGGATAGCAGCCTGGCTGTAAAAAATGAGGTTTACGATGCTGTTATGCACGTCTAAAGTCACCTACGCAAACTGAGATTTTTGATAATAATAATAAATAAATAAGTAATAGTAATAAGCGCTTGATCATTCCTGTTTACATAATGATGGCAGTATTTGACAACAAAACCACTTGAATATTATTGGCATCCTTAAGTATATACGGAAGCATTAATGACGTGAGTTAACGCTACGACTGATTGCAGCAAAAAAAGTTGTCAGTTTATTACATGAGGGTGTATAATAAATGAAATTTCTGCTAAGGTAGTATCTGTCGGCAAATTACGCTGCCTTAAATAAAGTGGCAAAAACCATATGGATGAGTGACCACAGCCAGCATTTGTTGTAAGCGATCATGATTCTATTCATACTGCTTTCCTTGGTCGTTATGATTATGATGATATCACTTTTACTTATCAGGTTTCTTTCAGAGACTGTTATTCCTTTTTGTGAGGATTTTGTCGTACTCAAATGCACTTCTTCAACAACCTATCCACTCGCAAATATGAAAAGTCATCATGAAATACAAGCGCAAAGAATTAGACAGCAACATTCAATAGAGGAAATACCTTTGAAGTAACTCTGATTCCTTTTTGAAAAGATTATCCTTTAATTCAACGGTATGGAGCCATTTCTTTAATAGTCTCTTGACGCTTCCATTATTTTCAGACACTAATGTATGAAAAAAATTCGTAGCTTTGATGAAACATCTCTATAAAAGAGTTAGCTTAAAGTTCGAAAACCGCATAAAAATTCTAGATGAAAGATGGAGTACATACCAAAGTTTTAGATATATCAGAGTGTAAAAATCTAGAAACACGCTAACTATTGCAAACAAATCTGCGCACAAAATAAGCTTTGAAGAGAAACCATAGAGTATTAACAACCTTTTAGTCTACATTTGACCTGCTTCAGTTTGGGCACGTGGGCAGTATCACAGCCCTCACACAAATCAAATGAGATTTCAGCGGCGCATATATATCTGGTGTCCCTTTGTACCAATATTTATGTGTTTAAATAAATAAATATAAAAGTCTAAATTTGAGACTTGATTTTCAACGAATGACAATAGATGATAAAAGTATACTTGTTTCTTGCCAACCTGCGAAGTCAAACTAGATAGGAAAGCAATGAAGCAATACTGCTTTAAGAGTAAGTTAACTGGATGCATCTGAACTATGTAAATTAAATTACCATACTAACGAATAGACCTTTAGTGGTCTATCTGACTGCAATATTGTTTAAATTTCAGGTGCACTTAAACTTAATTGTTTGTACCTGTTTCCAACAATAAAATAATCTATATAAACGAGAATAAACTTTAGTTTGAAGTATATTTCATATGTAATTTACATTAAGTAATCTTGGTTAACTAACAGTAACTCAGGATGAAACGAAAACTATATAGGAAGGATGGAATAACTTGCACCATTTCCAGAGAGCTTCAAATATGCGTTTGATTCATATCGGGCACTTGAGGAATTCATTGGTCATGCGGTGATGAGAAAGCGTCTTACATAATTCTGCCCGACTTAAACATTGCTGATTTTAAGTATATAATTGTAGTCTACCAACAGTTAGACGAGTCCAAGTGCAAGAGCGTTCGGAAATGGTGTGAAGGAAAACGTTCATAAGTTCTTTTATTTAACACATCAAAGAACTCATTTTGGTAAAGTGACAACGCAAGATAAATTTTAGGAAGTAACTCCTATCATAGTAACTGGGATTCTCTACAGTATATACTATTTTCACTTTCGAGACCGTAAGGCACAGAATTTAGTTTTAGGTGCGAATTTATGCAGACATTATGTCTATATTTAATACTATATGAAGCCTAAAACTATGACCACGTTTATATAGAGAATATCTTACTTACTTTCTCTAATACTTGTTTGAATTTCGCGAGCAGATAGTTCCAGATTGGAAAGTTCATTGTTTATATCATATAGCTGTTTGTGTAATTCTGTGTATGGAATGAAGTTGCTTTGCCGATCGCGTCTGATATCATGTCGGGATAAAACAGGAATAGGTGGGGCAGGCCCTTTGGTATTAACTGACCTAGTTATCTTTGCATTTGATCCATTAATAGGAGATTTTGAGGACTGTATTGCATCACTACTTAATGAAGAGTACTGTGCTTTATTCAGACTACCATAAGCGAGTAAACTCGATAAATCATATATAGAAGAGTGAGCAGTTCGAGGATTGACTGATTCATCTGGGACCAATTTTTCCACGGAAAAAGTTTGATTATTCTGTTCCGTGTAACTATTTCTAAAATTAATAGGCGTTGATACCAGAGATGGAGGGTTTGATATACTTGATATATTTGAGTGGTCAGAAACTGAAGTGTTATTAATTTCTTCCGAGTCTGAGGCTGATAAATCGTCGTCAAATGGATTATAAGGCTTATATGTACATTCGTGCTGAGGGTTCACATCATGTGGAGAGTCATCTTCGAACGGATTTAAAGCAGAAGGATAGGAAACTATGTTCTGATGTCTTGGATCAGAGTTATTTCTATGATGTTCTATGTCAGCTGCTTTTTTAGCTTCTGTCTTCAAAACACTATTCATTTCAGAAGATGCATTATTACTTAAAACATCAGGAAGTGGTGGTCTTGAAGGAGGTTTGCGTGTTGATTGACGTTTTTTATTGCTAACAGTGTCTAATTCTTTTTGTGAACTGAATCGTGTTGGGAATGAATTCGCTTCTAGAAATGAAGATAGAGAGGAGATGAGCAAGCTTTTTTTTTACCTGAGAATTTAGTCAGCGTCGGACTATCAGAACAGTTGAAATCTTTTAGTGTTTTGTTTCGTTCTTTGAGATAAGCTAGTTGGTTGTCACGATAGCAACTACGGTGGTAGTTCCTACTAAAAACAGTTAACTGCTCGACACAAAATACAGTTTCTCCACAAAGACCACATACAGGAAGTCCCTCCTCCTGTTCACACTAAAAGCACGTTATATAATATTTGCAAGGGCATACCAAATATGATAAGTTTTTATCTGGAAGCTTATGTGAACCTAATTGACCTGCATATTTAGAGACAGATAAAGTCATGTATTACCTGAAGACTTTCTTGTTATTGCCCCATACAACTTAGAAACGTATTCGAATATTATCTTCTCATCTACATCTTCTAATACTTTGACTTGTGGTCTTGTAAGCACCGGTATATTTAATTTTGTTTCTGCAACGAAAAACGCCTAAAATATGTCATCATACATGAAGGACATATAATAACCAACCAACTCAAGATTTTTTAAAGCATCTTCGGACTTCAAGTGAGAAAAATCTCTTAAAAAGTGAGATGCAATTTAAATGTTCTGTTCAACCTACATAAGATCAGGGAAATATTTGTGAATTAGAGCACAAAACGCCAGACCGTCTTTCCATGACGATGTGAAATCAGTGATATTGATATGTGGGTACGTTTTGGTTTGTTCAATACACCAATTCAGAAGATACTGAGGAAAGTCATCTCCCATTTCCCCTGTCGCAGAAAACAAAATTAGCCACGAAAGTTACGAAAGTGACCAGCATTTAAGTTCATCGTCCGTTGATGCATTTAAACCGTTCAAATGGTTCAAATGGTTGAGGACGGAATAGAAGAAGCTTTCGCCTAACGTGTTTCTGAGTCTAGTAGCAGTGAATCACCAATACTTCCAGGCAAAAACCCAAGTATCTTAACGATAATAGAGGGAAAAAGAATTTGGCAAATAAGAATAATATGTTATCCTTAGTCCTTAAGAATAAGTCAAGTTTCCTCTTAAAGGAATCCTGGAAAGTCGCTTGGACTAGCTATGTCGGCAGCGAGTTCCAGCATTTGACAACTCTTAAGGAATAGAACTTGTGTCTGCAGTCTGTTCTGCTATGTTGGATCTCCAGTTTCTGGATGTTGTCTCTTAGGTTAGTATTGTGACCAAGTTTAAGAAGATGTTTAAGGGATGACCAGAAGTATTAAGGATACTGTAAGACATAAGAAGGTCACCTCTAAGACTCCTATGCTATAACGGGTAAAGGTTAAGTGATTGGAAGCGCTGTTCATACAGTTTGAATTTGAGTCCCCGAACTGATTTCGTGGCTCAACGTTGGATACGTTCCAGAGTGTCCTTATCCTTTTGGAGGGAGGGAGGAAATACTATGTTTCCGTACTGTAAATGGGAACGAATGAAACTGTTGAAGATTATGTGGAAAGTTCTACTGTCAAACTGGCCAAAAATGCACTTCAATGTTACCAGTGCAAGGTTTGCTTGAAAGGCGTTTTTGTCACAGTTAGCATACGACTTCAGGTCGTAAGGTACCAACACTCCTAAATATTTTTCGACTTGAGAAACTTCTAGAGAGGAGTTTCCTAAGTTGTAACTATAGTCTGCAAAATGTCGCAAACGGACTACTTTGCACTTTGAAGTGTTGAAGGTAAGTCTGTTGTCCAACTTCGAAGTCAAGTCAGATCCTCCTGAAGTGCTAGTATATCCTTATGGTTACGTATCTTTTTCCAAAGTTTCACATCATCAGCAAAAAGCAATAAGTCAAATGAAACTTGTCGAGGAAGATCGTTAATGTAAATTAAGAAGATAAGAGGTCCTAGTATTGAACCCCGGGGACCCCACCAGAACATTCCATAGCTTGAGAGAGAGAGTGAAATTAACCCTGACCTTAAAGTGTCGGTTTTCTAAATATGAAGAGGGCCAATCAATCAGAGGGGGTTTGATACCCAATCGCCTAAGCTTATTGATAAGACATATGTGGTTGACCCTATCAAAAGCTTTTGAGAAATCCAGGTAAATGACGTTGACCTTCCCCTTGAGATCGAGGATGGTTGTCCATCTATCCACCGCAGTCAGCAGGTTGGTCATACAAGAATGACTCTTTCTGAAACCGTGCTGTTGGGTTGAGAGGAACTTTAAGGATAATAAGTATTCTTCTATACCGTCGTATATTAGAGATTTCATAATTTTAGAAGGTATGGAGAGAAGGGCCACTGGTCGGTAGCTTGAGGGTTCACTGCGTCGACCTCCTTTGAAAATTGGTGTGATGTGGGCCAGCTTCCAAATTTCCGGCAGTTTGGCTCTGCTTAGCGATTGTGAAAACATCACGCTAAGTGCTGATGTCAGGACTCAGGCTGCTTCCCTTAATATAGCAGAATGAACCATGCCCGGACCGGGAGTATTGTCTTTCCTTAGGTGCTGCAGTTTACGGAGCACCAGGTCAGCACTCAGGTTCACTCCGGAAAGTCCTGTACAAGTGCAGGTGAAGCTTTCGTCAGTATAGTTGATGTAGGTCGGCTGGAATGTCCCCCAGCTAGTTCGGATATTATAAATGAATGAAAATGACCTAGTTACTCTTGGGAATTCATCTGAAAATATGTCAAAGTAGTTTACAATTTTCGGGGTATAACCAAACTTACGTAACATATGTGGTACTGCTCCGAAAATGTGAGATTCATGCCTTTCACTGATTGATAGTCAGACAAAAATAGATTCCAGTATAGGTTAGTTAAGTAGTAACAGTTTGACACTGTACAGTTTGCTTGATTGCCTTTGAGGTTATGAATTTAGTCTATAATCTCTATTCACACACAAATCAAGGGATGAAGAGAAGATGATATATCAGCATTATATGAATACCGTGGTGACACATTGGCAATAGAGATGCTTTACCCTCCGGCAAAGATAAACTTGCTGACCTTGGTTTGTTAAATAAACTCAGTTTAAGAATATTTGTGAGATCCGACAAAGTACTGTCGACTTGTGAGCGTACTCAATGCGCTGTTTAGCTCCCAGCCAACGTTATTTGCAAGCAGTACTTTAAGTTCCTAGACAAAAATTTGATCCTCTACGAAAAGCAATGTAGTTTCCGAACAATTTATTCTCATCTCACGAATGCATTAGTAGCTCCATAGGTCTGATGTGCTCTTGAAGATGAGATACTGTCTAGAAATGTGGCCTTAGTCAAATTTTGAGGACTTTCGGCAAATTATCACACAGCAGATTGTTATCTAAAATAAGAGGCATTTGGAATAAATGTAACTTAGTTTTGTGGGTAAAGGATTTTTTATATGAACTCTAACAAAGAGCACGGGTTAACTCCAAATTATCTAACTAGAAAACTTTCCATGCTGAAGCGCCACATGGCACATTTACAGAACTAATTTTATTCTCACTGTGTGGAGACAACTTTATCCTTCTATCGACACCAGTCTCGTTCATTGCTGGTAATATTTAGGTATGAGGAGTAGTTAGAAATAAGCGTGATGTTTTGGAAGCTTAGTATGACGTCATGTAATCGTCTGAGCAATATCGAACTTGGCAGTTGTCGGTAATTTGTTCCAAGTGAATATTGATGCGTATTATTGACACGGTGTCGAAACATACACGATGAACAGTACTTTGTCAACTAGTTCCCGATAACCTACACAGCTTGACAAGCCATTGGTGGGTAAGATCCGAAAACCATCACACACTGCTGTGTGATAGCTTCCTAAACTTTTCGAACCTTGTGGTCGATACGTGAACCCTTTGACCCTGTGGATGTTAAGACCTGTTTGATTTTTTACAGTATTCATTCTACCTAGGTTCAAGCATTTGTCGCAAACAGGCATCTGTTGCCTCAGAGAAAATAAGCTTTTAAATTCCCGGAACCACGTAGATTCGGTATGATGAGATATTGAATAAACTGAACCTATCTGTTGTATCCGTATTGCTCAATACTTATTCTTGAAATAGGAAACCACTACGATTCTGACGGCATGAGGTAAAATTTAAGAGATAAGACTAACACAAGTGAAGATTATATGGCCCGGAAAACACTACAATCCTAGGGAAAAAAACATTTATCTATATGTTTACTGAACGTTCATTTTGATTGTTGTTTAGAAAAAATGTCACGTATATGAAAAATGCTCAGAATTATAACATATCACATATTTCATTATCACACTGTGTACTGTTCACGGAAATTCGGTGCAAAAATACCGAATCTTGAAAAAAATTGATGCTAAGATAAACCTTTTAATATCGAATAAAATAAAACACTGAAAATCATACAAACATTACATTCAGTAATAACCATACTCAATTAAAATAGAAAAAAATGTCGAATAAGAATCCCTATAGGTTAAAAATATAGCTATGCCATTTTATCCCACCATGTTACTACCCAAATCTGTTTAACATTCACTGAAATGCTTGCTGAATGATTTGATCCGGGCTAAGTAAAATTTAACTAGCTCTATGATGAAATACTGTTCGTGAATATACTTATGTATTGAGGTGTTTAAAAAATGAAGCTAACGAAAATAAAGACGTTTATCTGAGCAGCCAAGTATGACGAAAAACATTATCAAAACAGTGCGCTGTTTTTTGTGAACTAAAAGCTCTTTGCTATGGTAATGAGAAACTATTCCACAACATAATGAAAATGTCGTTAAGGTAAAGTACACAGTACTGTAATAGACTGTGATATTTAAGAGTATTTGAATTATAGTATAAACTAGTAATCCCGCAAATAACGCATTATAATCGAGAAGTATTAGATGAACGCGAACGAATGTATTTTATTTGGAATTCAAACTCAAGTAGTCATCAAGTACAAACGTTTCACTAGTTCATATAAACACCACGTCCACTACAGGTTAAATGAAGATCCAGATTTCTGCGATCAATCGTACCTCTTCTTTTTAGAATCATCACGTGTCTGTCCAATTGTGTAATAGATGTAAACTCTGTACAACCTAGAATATACTGATTTGTATTAGAATTAATAAAATTATTTTGAACATACTGTGATGTTTAGATAAATCAATGACTTCTTCGTATTGATGACTGTTGTAATTTTGAATTCCAATTACAATACATTCGTTCAGGCTCATCTAATACTTCTTGATTACATTGAGTTATTCCTGGGATTACTAGTTCATACTACAATTCAAATACTTCTGATCATCATATTGGCGTCGCGATTGAGCCTGTGATGGAACGGTTGGATATAAATTCAGATTTTAATGCTTTTGAGGAGTACATGGAGAGGTTCAAAATCTGGGCTATGACCAAGGAAGATGATGAAGATTTTAATATTGTGGCCCATTTCCTTACATTCATCGGAAAAGAAGCATACAGCCTTATAAAGACTTTGGCACTTCCAGACAAACCGATTTCAGTCCCCTATGAAACTCTCAAGCAACTACTGTTGGATCATGTAAAGTATACAAATTCTGAATGCGGTAAGAGAGAAAAATCCGAAAAAATGACTCGATAGAACATCAGGAATTCCACTACTTTATTAAGTCGTCGCAGTTCGCTGCGTTATAAAAGTTATCCAGACAATACTTCATTGAGCTTTGAAACAGTCCATGGAGATGAGCACGAGATTAGTAAATGCTTGTTCTGTGGCAAGTTTTACCCATGTAATTCATGTATATTTCGTAATTCTAAATGCTTTAAATGTGCTATAACTGGACATATTCAGTCAGTTTGTAATACCATGGTTCATTTCGCTGAAACTAATGCTAAGATGGATGCTTCTAATGATCAGTTTTCTTTATCTAGAAGTGGTATAACGTCACATAACAGTTCAGAGTTGAATGAAACCCAGAAT